GCCTCCTCTTCCATCTCCCGGTCACAAAAATCAATGCCGTGTACACGTCCACTGATAGGAGACGCGGAAGGTATTAAACTGATCAGAACAATACTAAACACACCACTCCTTTTTTTTGGTGAGGCTTTACAGGACAGAGTGCTTCTCCACGGGACATGTTAACTCACGGGCAGTTGGCTCATCAAGGAACCACAGCAGCTTTCCATGTACAGGTAAGACACGTGCAGCCGGTAAGGGTTCAGGCTCTTCTTCCTGGAGGATACGCTGCAAGCCTGTTGAACGAGGTGACCTTGCTCGGGTCCCAGGTGTACGGCTCCTAAAATGGCTGCCATATACACGTCCACTGATAGGAGACGCGGAAGGTATTAAACTGATCAGAACAATACTAAACACACCACTAATAAGGTTTTTCTCCTGTATGGCTCCTCAAATGATGCTTAAGATTAGAAGCGGCTGAAAAGCATTTCTCACACCAACAAAAATATATTTTTAACATTCTCCACTTTGAACTAAATGACGCTTGGGAAGAGATTAACATAATTAAACACAGGCAGTAAAAATACGTTTTAGCCATACCCCTGTAACCCTTAAAACCACACATCCCATCTTCATAATTACATATTTGGAATCAAAGTACACTTAAACATACAACATAACCAAAAATCAGCCAAATCCATCCAGGGGTTAAAAAGTTGGGGTTGGAGGTCCCTTTATGACCGACCAAGTAGTTAATATTTTCCTGCCCAAAACAGTTCCATAGATTTGGCCAGAGGTCGGGTCTATCAGGTTGAAAGACTAAGTCCCATCACCGAATGGGACTTAGCGTCTCTAGCTGAAATAATTTCCCATTTACTGAACCAAGTGGGAAATAGCAAGGCAGGCACAGAGTGGTTTGCACCAGGTCTGGGGACACAGGGGACACCGTCTTAAAGGGGCCGTGTCCCCAACAAGTCTGGGGACACGGCCTTAAAGGGGCAGTGTCCCAATCTCCCTGATGTCCCAAAAAGGTGTTTAAAGGGCCAGCACCAGTCACATAAAGAGTCCATAAGCCCCAATATGCCCACCGACAGTCTTAAAGGGCCATACACACCAAATAAAAGTGCATACATTTTCACAATCTCCCAGGGGCCATAGTCATGCGGGAGGAGGCTGGCAAGTAGGCTTCTCCACAACCTAGGGAAGCAGGGCAATTTGCCATTTAAAGGGCCCGTTACAAATAGCAGCTTGTAACAAGGTGTCAATCCATATCTGCCAAGTGACCCGATGTAGGGGGACCAGTCCCTATTCTGCTCTGTGTCAGTGTGTATCAGGGAACCTTAGGACAGGTGTCAATCCATATCTGCTGGGTGACCCGCATGTAGGAACAGTCCCTATTCTGCTCTGTGTCAGTGTGTATCAGGGATCCTTAGACAGGTGTCAATCCATATCGCCAAGTGACCCTATGTAGGGGACCAGTCTCTATTTGCTCTGTGTCCAGTGTGCATCAGGGGCTCTGAGGACAGGTGTCAATCCATATGTCAAGGTGTCAATATGTCATATGTCAGGTGTCAATCCATATTGATTGTGATTTAGGAATGTTAGGTGATTTCTGCCCTTTATGGATTAAAACCAGACTCTGTATCAACTGTGTAATTTTCCATGGGAGTTTTGCCATGGATCCCCCTCCGGCATGCCACAGTCCAGGTGTTAGTCCCCTTGAAACAACTTTTCCATCCCTATTGTGGCCAGAAAGAGTCCCTGTGTGTCTTAAAATTCGCCTCCCCATTGAAGTCAATGGCGTTTTGGGCGGTTCGCCGGTTCGCGAACATTTGCGGAAGTTCGCGAACCTAAAATTTCGGGTTCGCGACATCACTATTTGCCAATTGTTATTAAAGGGACATTATAGTTACTAGAACAGCTACAGCTTAATGTAGAGAAAAGGCAGTGTTTACATTGCCCCCTAGGGACACCTGCAGTGGCCACTCCTCAGATGGCCTCTGGAGGTGCTTCGTAGGGCAGTGCTGCAAAGTGTGCATCACTGCCGTTCAGTGTCTCCACACTCTGCATGGAATTTTCCTAATAGAGATGCATTGATTCAATGCATCTCTATGAGGAGGTGCTGATTGGCTAAACGGGTGTTTGGCCCTGCCCCATACATGCTTGTGTTCCTGAACGTTTCTTTAAAATGTAAAAAGACAAGGAAGGACCTGCATGGAGGTCAAATATTTAGGGGGGGGGGGGGTGTGAGGATGTGCAGTTTGGAATTTCTCCTTGGTAGCCAGGTTCTATGGAAAAACTGCCCTGGTTGGCACACTGGCCATTTCTACCACCAGTCATGTAGAGTAAGTGAGTGTCTTATGACAGCATATGGGGGCATCTATTTGGGGCAGTGGAGTACAGAGTAAAGATCTTGTGCATGAATACTTGCTCACTTCTGCTACAAATCCCCCCATGCATGGCTCGCATGGCTCTCTGGGAGGATTCAGACAAAATAGGACAACTGAACATCACTCAAATGCAGTTTAGTGTGTAGACCTCTATGTACGGAAACATTGACATTTAGATTATTTGCATTGCATTTGATATGAAATCCCTTGGGATTGACACAAGTCGTACACATCGGGGGCAGTTTCAGATTTATAAGCCAATGTACCACTTCCCATTCTATTATTTATTTTCAGATTTTCACACAGGATAAACAGGGGTATTTATACATATAATTACTAAATACAGATACAAATTCATTTACAAACAATGAATACACCAAATCATTGAAAATACACGAAAACAATCTCAGATTGTTGATTTCTTGTTATAATTTCATTAGTATTCTTAAAGTTTAAAATTAGTTGTTTTTTTTTTAAAACACGGCAGCAGATAAGATTCCATACATTATGAGATGTGCAAATCATTTGTAAACATAATCCATTGTGCGATTCATCCAACAGAACGCCACATTTCTATTTTCCATATTTATTGATTAAAAGAACACTGACAAGTGATGAACTTCCTCTCCAACAGGGAATACAAAATGTAACAAATTAATAAATTGCAAATGTTTCAAAAAAATGTCTTATAATACAAATTTGGATATTAGAGACAAAGCAACGTGAATACAGGATTGTCCTTAAAATGTAAAAAATACATTTAAAAAAATGTAATTAGTTAAATACTGTGGGTGAAAAAAACAAAACAAAACTTAAACGTTGGAGAGTGTAGTGTGGATAAATAAAAAATCCCCTCTGAAAAACATTATCGAAGTGATTTTTGGCCTATACGTTTTATACATAACAGAAACATTAACTAAAAAATAATTTCTACTGCTGCCAAGTCAGTATAGACATTGCAGTTATCATCTCCTTGTAACAGAACACTAGACAATGCATCACAAAAAGCCCCGACGATTTGAAGATTCTTTAATAAACACACGTTTCTGTGTTTTTTGGTAGAACGTATTTTAGGTCTTTAAATCGGTACGACGTGCATGATTATCATTATCAGGTGGAACCAGTGGGTTGTTCTCCAAGCCTGAAGAACGTCCAACATCCATGATGCTCTATCAGAATTTGAATAGTCTGATTATGATGAAAAAAAATTGAATACTTTTTTTGTGTTGCTAATCAATGGAAAGTCACCAACTCCACTATAGCGTTAACAAAACGTCCAGGGCTAACAATCCGTGTTGTGATAAGTTTCTGTTATCATTTTGGGGCAGAACAAGCAGCCACAACACACCGGACACAATCTTCATGCACAAATATATACTTTCTGTGTAAAATATTTCATATTAATATCACATTATCTGCATACAATATTACACGCCAAAAAAAACCAAGACAGTCTCTCCCTGGTGGACAGGACATGTATTGGTTCCACTAATCCAGTGGATCCCAAACTTCACCCAGAGAAATAAAATGCTATTTTAGCTTCAACAATTCCCTGTGAGTAGGTAGTCATTGCAGCTCAATTGCGTACCCCTCAACGGGAAAGGACGAAAAACAACCACATATACACATTATATATACACATAGAAATTCTTAGACGGAAAAACAAAAACATTTTTGTAGTATAAACATCTCAGAAACCGTTTTTAGACCCAAAGTTTGGTGTGGGGTTATTAGGTCCATTTAGTTATTAAACTACGTGTACTATTCACTTGCTGTGAAATAATAAATATCGTGGATGAATAACACACATTGAATAAAGAAAATATATTGATATATTGATTGTTCCCGGCCACTGTACACACATGCAAGTCACAACTCAGGATATCATTTTAAATTATAGGAACTCGGGTAGTGGTGTTCAGCGGCTACAGGGCTCCCTGCTCAGCAAAAGGAGGGGAAGAGTTTTTCAGATACTTCCCCAAAAATAATGAAAATTGTAACAATCTTTGTAGGAGAAAGAGTAATTTGAGTAACAGCCATTACTTCGCTACATATATAAAAACTAAAATGCAGCAAATGATCAAAATAAAGAGTCTGTGTGTTCAACAATTAAACTCTAAAATACATTTCATATCACAAGTTCTATTATTGTTGTCCACTGCAGGAGCACAATGTCAGGTTTCACCTCTGCTACATAAGCACACCTTCAGAGACGATGAACGTTAAGATAAAGGAGAGCACCGGTTCACTCCTTAAACAGGCAGATGTGCTGAGATTATTATGTAGATGCTACCAGAAGGAGTTGGAGTAATACTACACCAGACAAAATAAAGGCTTCAGAATTATGGGTCAGTGAGTAAGACTACTATAGACAAGTGTACAAAGAGAGAAATCCAGTAAAATATACTACTACTATTTGCCCAAATACAGCTAATAAAATCTAATAGTTTACATTTAATACGACATATAGTGCAATAGCGTTTTCTAATAAGCTAAAAAAAAAAGAACTCAAATGAAAGAGTCTCATTTGAAATTAACGAACCCAATTTGTTTTGTGTTTAGTTTTGGATTCCACCTCCCTCCCCCCCACCCCTTTGGGAAAAAAATAAAAAAAAATTCCGCCGGCATTTCCTTGGAAAAAGGCTGGTTTAGGAAAGTGGAGTGACAAGGAGAGAATGGCGCATCACATCAGCCAAAATATAATTCAAAAATAAAAACCATGCATATCATTTCACAAATTGAACCTATTTGCTTTAGATTTTAGAATGCTAAATTATACGTGGTTTGAATACCTACCAACATTTGGAGGTATAAAAGACACAGGGTGGGAGGCCCTATGGGTAAGTGCCAGCGTTGCCACTTGTGTCACTAGCAATGCCCAAAAGGGGAGGTCCCACCGGAAAAGTGGAAAAGACTGGCTAAAGAAGGGTTGTGCCAGCACATCACACTGAAATCCTAGCCAGCCCCACTCAGGGCAGTACATGCGCCGAGTGCTTTTGAAGTGCCCTGAACATGGGCTTAATGCTGTCTTATAGGAGCAGTGCAGACCCCCTAAAGCATTTTAGCTTGCTGTGAAGTGATTTTGTGTGTGAAGAATGTGTCATTGTTTTTTCATTTTACAAAGGTGCAGATTTCAGTAGAAATTGGCAGTATAATAAATTAACTTTGTTACCCCATCTGGCTGTCAGCCAGACAACAGGTCTGTGATTGGACAGTCACGGAAAGTCTGGGCGGCATTGAAGGACTCCAGACGAGGAGATCTACAGCTTGCACAACAACATGCACAATGAAGTGCATGCATGCTGCAACAGGTCTGTGATTGGACAGTCATGGAAAGTCTGAGCGGCATTGAAGGACTCCAGACGAGGAGATCTACAGCTTGCACAACAACATGCACAATGAAGTGCATGCATGCTTTTATTGGGGGATATCTAAACAGTATTTATTTTGGTGGGAATTTGGACAATGGAGTGTCCCTTTAATGCCCCAATAGCATATTGCATAGTGCAAAAGTGCCTTTTGATGCACTTGCACTCTGCAGTTTCCCAAATGCCGGAGACAAGGGAAGTAATCTGGGATGGTGGGACAGGAGACCATTTCAGGACTGTAGCGCCAAACTAGGGACAGTTGGGAGCTATGTGTAAGTTTGTTGATTCCTGGTTTTGATTCTCTATGCAAGGAATGACTCAGATGATCACATTGTTCACATGTTGTCAAGTATTGAATGGAGTGTGTATTAGAATTATTAGTTAAAACACAGGAATTGCCAAAAAATTAAATCTTGATATTCTTTAGGATTGCATTTACCCATGATGCTTAGCCAGCATTTAGCCTGCTTTAAACCCTGCTGAAAAATCCCATTCAGATTTTTCTCTCGCTGATCATTGCACCAGATTATCAATGGATAGAGAGTATTTTCAATAAGTTTACTGTTGATATTTTTATGTAAACCTGGAGCTGCACATTAAATATACAGCCCCCTAAACTGTGTTAAAATTTTAAAATAAAAAATAAATAGAAAAATCCTCAATACACCTACGTCAATACCTGATTCACAGATAAACGTCAGTCTTTTCTCCTCTGGACAATTGCAAAGTGTGACAGTGCCGATGTCGGACACTGTATCAGTCTATTCCTGTGCTGCCCAAAAAAACACAGATCCAGCTCTTTTGCTACGGTTCCTCAGTCTATTGAACCGAATTGGGAAAGGAGCCAACAGTCCCAGGCACTTGAGATTGCTGGAAATATCTTTCAATCTGCTCCAGTGTTTTTCCTTTAGTCTCTGGCACGTAGAACACGGTAAAGAGGACATTCAACACGCAGAATCCGGCAAAGAGCCAATACGTGCCATACGAGGTCAGATAGTCCTAGAGAAACAGATCAGAAATAGGAAATATATGAGGAATGCACATCTTATCTCATTTAATACAGGTCGTCTTAAAGATCCTAGGGTTTTTTAGAAAACATATAAAATCAGGGAAACCTCATGTGAGAATCCCTGGTTTGGAATTTCATTAAACAAAGTATTTGATTGAATGAAATGTCTTCAACAGTAAACAATGTGTTAGAAGATTGCTGCAATATAGAAAAATAACCATTTAACCGTCTATTCAATGATAGAACAGGCTTAATTTATCCATTGCCAAAAATGAACATAAAACTGACAGTTGTATCTATATGCCAATTAGATATAGGGATCCTAAAAATCACGCCAACAGGTGATGTAGATTAGTATAATAAACATCGCTTCAGAATCATTTCATAATTACAATGTCCAAACAATCGATAAAAAAGGAGATGAGAGTTTATATTTTTACTATAAGGGTTAAGCCCTGGGTGGAATTGGTACCCCCCCTCACTGACCAACCCCCGTCCGGGATATTCTCGCACGCTCTCGGAATTAGCTGAATAATACCAGATGCTATTATTCAATTACTAAAGCTGTATTTTTGAAAAAACATTTTTTACCAACAGCAATACATGCATCTGACTGTACCCCCAAACCATACAGCATCTACAATTGCTACTTTGTATTTTAGGAGGCCATGTCTGATGTGGGGAGTCGGGAAAGTGCTGCACCCTATTCCTTAATAATATAACAGAACAAGAGCATTGAAATGAGAGATAAACCGCAATAAATAAAATTATACAAAGGTATTTTATAAATTTATATTGCGGTTTTAGACTTTATTGCTTGCTGGTGTTCCATTTATCTCAGATTTGCTCTAATTATGCAGTGTACCACATGGTCCCCTTTTCGTAAGACAATCTGTGGTTCCTTGGGAGTGCAGCGTTGTGATTTACCTTTCTCTCATATTCCAATGTTGTTTCATTATTGTTTTTGTTTTTTTTTTAACACTAGGTTTTGAAGTGTAGTAGATTTTTATTTGCTTTTAATCAAGGATTCCATCAATAAATACAGAATGTCTAATCCCAAAACACTTACCATGAGATCGTGGAATTCCTTTGTTACCAGGAAGGCACAACCCCAGTTAGTAACAACACAGACACCGCTTGCTATCCCTCGCGCACGCAGTGGGAAGATTTCAGACATAACCAGCCACGGGATAGGACCCCAACCAAGCGCAAACCCTGTTAAGGGAAAAAGAGGAAGAATAATGTGAAAACAGCAATTGTGTATTTTGGCATCATGCGAAGATCAGGGAGGGATGTCAGGAGCTATAATTTGACCACCATTGGTCATCGTCAGTCCCCAGCATGCTATGCGTCAAGAAAGCGCTTTAATTTATATCCAGCATTTCAAACTGAAACATTGCACATACAGATTCCAAGCACCATGACCACTTCAAACCACAAATATTTATACTTCGGTCAGTCCCGCATCATCATACTTCAAGTGCTTATCTCAATATTTAGGGATGCGATTAGTATCATACTAAGATGTTTAGTCACTAAAACGTTGATTTATCAAGGAAATTGCAAGATTTCAGCCAAAAATATTAATTTGGGGAAAAAATCCACAACTCAACAAGTAATAGCATATCTATGTTAGTCTGCATTCTGAAATTCAGGTTATTTTTAAGTCACCAGAGTTCACCGTTTAGTGACTAAACCAGTCCCTTAAAGACTAGCACTATAAAATGTTCAAATTATTTTCCATGGAAACAAGAAGCTCTGCCGAGAAAGCAGCAAGTGAATGGGGAACAACTCCCCTATTCTGCTTTATCGTGAAAAAACAGGACCAGCAGACAATGATGAAGGTCATTCCATGTAGGATCACAAATAAGCTGCATCCATTTAACATTTATACCAAGACCGGATTATTTTCATGTGTGTTGGAAAGCACCAGACAGTGTTGGCCACCATATTACTGGGTCGTTTGTCGAAGTTGCCCCTCCATACGTTATTTTTTTTTCTAAGGGCAAATTTTGTATTTTGTCAACATCTGGTTATCAGCCTTAACCTGAGCAATCAAGTTCCACTCTAACAACAATACACCTACAGCTTCCGCAAAGATGTACCTACCAGTTATGAAGAGACACATGCTGGCAAGTGCCAACCACGCCAGGTGGTCCACTGGACTAGGGGGCAAATCCGTTGGTGGGAGAAGAAGTCTTGAGGCATTGTTGACAGGTATCTCTGTGATTTTAAAATACACTCCAAACAGTGTGGCACTGATGGCCATAGTAATTCCTACAGAGAGAGAGAGAGGAGATCACAAAACACATTAATAATAAGAATGCAACTGCCTTGTCAGATTTGGTAGCATTGTATCCCGGAATAATTAACCACGTGGGGTACCGGTTGTATTTTTGAATGACATGGGTGAGGTTGGCAGAGTTATATACTGTGACCATAGGGACATATAAACTGGCACTTCATTGGCATGGACTATGGTTCCCATGATGCTGAGCAAACTGGTTAACTGAGGCAGCTTCATGGAAAGTTTATTTCGCAGTCAGAGTACTTAAGATATTAGAGCGTCCAAAGCCCCAACACGTACTGCAGTGCTGTACAATGAGTAAAAGAAACCCACATCTTTCACTGCAGCAAGACAATTTTGGCAATCAGAAAAAAAAGGTGATAAGGGCCTTGCTCAAGCATAACGGACAGTGATGACTTGCCTTGGCGCTGCAGCTGAGGAACTACATATCCCATGGTGTTTAGGAATTTAAGATGTGTTCGACGTTGCAGAGATTTGTAAACTACATTCACCATGATGCCATGATGTCCAGGCAGCATGGAGCAGGAATGGCCAAAGGTAGATCATCAGCTGTTACAGAACTAATTCCTGTGATGCTTTGCCAATATTAATTTGAATGCATTCTAAATACTTATTTTTGGACACCAAAGTTTTAGGTAAAAATGTGCGCTATATCCCCAAACCTGGTAATCTGGATATTTAGTTGACCAGGAGATTGAGAACTAACCTCAAAAGTTGGAAGCCAAAACAAAGTAATGGAACCCCAACAGCAGACTATTCGGCTCAGGAGATTAATTCCACTAAAGTGGGAACCCAGCAAAGTTTCAGCCTACAATAAGGACTCAACAACACCCCACTGCAGGTGGAAATATTGTTGGTTCAATAAATCCATACATTTTTTTGGGCTTGATTATTCAACCGCTTCACACAACTTTGTACGCAGAAAGCTGATCTCGTTTTATCTTTGCTTGCCATTATTAACAGTGTGAAGGGCCGATATAAGACAAGTGTTTGGCTTACTAACAATCACCACACTAAAACCTGAAGACGCCGTTTTTTTGGGATCAAGTAGCGCTAACACACCTTCCTATCAAGGGAATAGAGTTCACCCAAGGGAAAAATCTGCCCCAGATGTGTTTGCATTCATTACTAGAGATTAAGGCTTACAACGATATTCACACCAAAACGAACGACCAGACAATTTTGTGGTGTAAAGAGTAGAATTGAGGTCATCAAAGATGGCAACACCAAGGGTGAATAGATCTCTTCCTCCTACTGTTAACTGACCAAACATGCTGCGTGGGGAGTCTCAATTTACTCTATAGGTTTTACAACAAACACGCACAATACCTGATATAATAAGTAAAACTTTCCTCCCTGCTTTATCCATAATTAGCGCTGCCACTGCTGTAAAAACCACCTGGATCACTCCAACTATCACGGACGCCAAGCTGCTGTTCTGCAAGAAACCAAACAGGAATCAGTTGCAGAAGATGGAGTCAACACAATAATGTAGACAGTGTTAAAGTTTCCAAGTACCGGTACCTTAAAATTAGCCTCCTCAAAGATGGTGTCTGCGTAGAACATAATGGCATTAATTCCCGTGAATTGCTGGAATACCATCAGAAAGATCCCAATCAAAAAAGGCTTGTAAATGGAAGGATTCCGCAATTCTGCTATTCTCAAACTGCTCTCCTGATTGGACAAAACAGAGGCGTGTTTAGACATTCACTTCAAGCTTTTTATGGTTAACGAAATAATAAAGTCTGGTTTTGTTATTTACAGCATTACTTAAATATTAAAAAGTTCAGAGTCTCCATGAAGCAGCGATATCCTACACAACTAAAACAATGTGTCAATCCCAATTATTCTAGATATCTTCCTTTATATTAGCCTCTATCATCCATGCTGGTTTGCTACTCCATGCATCTACAACTATTTTGGAAGAAAAGAAAAAAAAAAAAGGTTTCTGTTTATATATTTTCTCCCTCCAACTTCAGGACACTAAACCCACTAAAATTGTCCAAAATATTTAAATTAAAGCATTATCCTTCTAACATCAGCTCTCGTGATTAGATACAGGTTGTCAGCATTTATCTTGGTGTCTCCCAGAATCTCTGTTGATTACCCCACACAGTCAGTCATTTATTCTCAGAGTTTAAAGAGCGAGCACTGTCAAACACACAGAGTGAACACACCTGATCGTCACCGCTAGATTCAATCTGTCTGTATTCCCATTCGTGATCAGCCTCTGGACCCCGAAGGAACCTCAAAGCAGATAATGCTTCAGAGAACTTGTCCTGATTGATCAGATATCGTGGGGTTTCCGGCATGAAGCACATAAGAATCAGCATAAAGATTGGGGGAACACTGCAGAACACAGCAAGCCAACGCCACTCCAATATCATTCCTGCATACAGACATAAACAATATAACCACTAGGGGGAGATGCAGAGAAGTCTACGTTCACAGATGCACCTTACAGTTTTGGGATTCATCTGCTTATAAGAATGATGTAAATTCAAAGGAACACTCCAAGTAGTGCTCAGTGTAGTGGTTATGGTGCCCAGAGAGGGCTAGCACTAAACATTATAAGCAGTCAAACAGTTTTTAAACAGTGCTGGAGAAGGACGCATTTTTGTCACACTTCACATTAGCTGAAGTGAGCCTGATCATGGTGGTTTTTGGGTGACAGATGCACTGAAAGATTTAGGGTGGCTACTTTTAACCATCTTTGGTCAGAAGCGTAGTTTATCCAATCATAAGCCACTGACATGCACTTTGGGATGGTTACACACATTTGGATTATGAAGTCTTAGCAGATATGATGTGCTTCTGATCAAAAAGGTCCTAAAACACACCAAAATGTTATTAAGCTATATGTATAATAAAATAAGAAGTTTTGCAATAAATCTGCACTCAGTCGGCAGTCAGTATTATGCGATACACGTCATTACCTGCGATGTATGACCCCAGTATTCCAGTCACAACCATTAGTTGAACACATGACCCAAGAGTCCCTCGCACTCCAGAGTGTGAAGTTTCAGAAATATAGACCTAAAAATTGTATCAAAAAAATAAACCGGGATGAATAAAAACACATCAATTTTTTTATTCCCAATTTAACATTCCTCGCTGCTGTAAATTCTCTAGGAACAGCTATAGAAATTGTGCCAATAGCTCACTATGGGGTTCCTCTGGACTGGTGTGATCCATTAAATCTTGGCTAAAAAAATGTTGACTCTTGAAGAAAACAAAAAAAAATGTTTTTTTTTTTAATAAAAATGGCCGCCATTATTTGCCAAACGTTCTAACAATAAAGAACTGTAAGAATAAATATAAGTTCCATTTATTTGCCATCTGTTAGAACAAGCTAAATGACTGTTGTTTACTGTTTATTACTTACAGGGACAACTAATGAGGTGACTCCACTTGCCAGGCCATTAAGAAACCGGCCCCCAAAGAGCATCCACACATTCTGTGCTGAAATAATAAGCGTGAATCCCAGGACGAATGGTACCGCACAGAGCATAAGACTGAGCTTTCGGCCAATTCTGTCCACGATCCAGCCGCCAAACACTCCGCCTACTGCAGCCCCGATTGTTACAATAGACTGCAGGAAGAAAATAATAAGGAAGGAAGGAAGAAAAAAAAAAAATTGTCATTTTTATTACCGCTGCTTTAGATTCTGCTGTTGTCAGCAATAATTCTCTGTCTGTGACATGACTGTTAAACCTAATGCAGGCACACTTGTGTTTTGTGTGTGCACATAAATTGTACGTTCAGGAATTCAATATAGATTTCATATGTTAGGTCAAAGCAGCCAATTCTTGGAGAATTTCCCCAGTGCAAATATTGGCACCTGAAAATTTAAATTCAATTTGAGTTCCTGATAATTTTCACTTTTGTAAACAACTTGCATTGGATCATCACTAATGTAATAGAGCACCAGTTGGACCCAGGTCAAACCATATGAAAATGGTTTGACTTTAACCCAGGAGATGGTGCCAGGGGACTCCTGGCACCACAACCACTACAGTACTTATGGTGCTTAGGATACCCCTTTAATATCCATTTCTAAATTGTTAGGTCATTGCCACTTGTTTATGTTAGCCACACTTGTTTTGTTGAATTATTTTCCACTCACTGTATAGCACTACAGTGCTGTCGCTTTAAAATAAAAATGATTAAACAGTGTTTTTTCCACAATGTTTGCCATTTGCTCCAACTCATTTATTGTCATTTTTGTCTCTCTCACATTTTGCGTTGGAATATACTGTCACAGGAAAAATTGAACTTCCTGTTTTTTTACCCCACTGAAGTGATATTCAGCTTACGAGACGAGGAATCAGTTCTGCAACGATACAACACGTGAGCGGTTACTTTGGTGATGAAGAGTTTAGCACTGACGCTGTATTTAAGTCAAAGTTAATTCATCCTAAGGAGAGAATTATTTCTGACAAGTACAGATGTCCAACTGTTCTCAAAGCCTGACACGGTAAACCTTTACAATTTGTAGGTATATGGACCCTATTTTTATCAGAACAATGACGTGATGGATAGAGTATCAGAGGCTGCAAGAGACTCAGGACGGCTGTGGCCCTACAAAAGTTAAGCCTATCCTGAGGTCTTCAATACACATGATAAGGCAATCTTTAATACTCCAGCTGAGGAGGATAACTCTCATGAATCTCAGCCTCCAAGGCTGGGAGTTGTATAAAATACAGATTAAGGAACATCGCACACACAAAAATACAGTTTTCACTTTTACAAGGCTACTTAAAATCATCTATCTCAGCAAACAAATATGGGAACTCAGCTAAACCATATGGAACGGAGTTTGATATCTATTTGCTGAGATAGGTGATTTTAAGTAGCCCTTGTAAAATGTAAAACTCTATTTTTGTGTGTGTGCTGTTCCTTAATCTGTATTTTATATAAATTGTGGTCTCTACAGCAGCATCATTGCTGAGAGATGCATGTCCCTGGTATGCCCCCAATTCCCTTTTTCCACGATACCCTTAAAGCAGACAACTGCATTTCTCGGCTTTAAGGACTTAATGAGCAAATCCACAACTTCAAGATATCATTTCAGCACGTTCAGAAAAACAGAAACTTTGGTTGGTTGACATGTGTTCATTTGAGGGACCTTCAGGGAGACAGTTGTATTGACCAAGCATTTTGTTTCGCACATTATGCCCTTTCCTGCTACTGCATGCAGAGTTACAAATTAGATCCTCGATTTAATAGTGTTAGATAAGCTTTTCATGATTTAGTACATTGAAAAAATATTTACAAATTACATTTTTTTATCTAAAATGTAATTGTTAATATTGCAGATTTTTTTATTTTTTTTATTTTTTTAAGTTTACCAAATATTTAATAATTTGAAAAAATTATCCTAAAATATAAAAATCAAGGCCAATGTAAGGAATGGAGCAGGTACATTACCCCAAACCAGGAGGCTGCATTCTTGTCCAATACCAAGCGAGGGTCATCTGCATTCTTCAGATCTGCAATTGCAGGAGAGCTGTATCCCAGGACAAATCCAAAACTCAGGGGGCCCAAAACTGCGGCAAACGTTGCCAAATAGAGATTTTTGTTTTGAACTTTCCTGCAGAACGCAAGGTGACATAATGTACAGGTAAATGGTAAATCTGTAAAAGATCTAAGTACCTCAGTCTTAACAAAATTCTAACACTTTAGGAGTTACAAAAAGTAGAACCAATTGATCTTCAAACTTGTCCCCACACATTGCTTTATTGTATAGGACTTATGTAATACTAGAATGCACCGAGTTCAGCCACAAGTATTGCAATATGGAAATACAACTTAATTATAGTTTATACTTCAGTGACAATGGTATAACGGTACGTTGGAGATTGTGATATGTTGTTATTTATATTAACATTCTCAAGAGATACGACTAGAACAGTGTGCAAATTAAAGTCCTCTATAACAGGGCTCACTAACTTCTAGCACTGCAGAGGGCTTTGAACATAGTACACAAATATGAACATTATAATACACAAATGCTGCTCAAAATGTAGATGTTTTGAAACTACAGCTTCCATAAAGCTTTGTCTTTCAGAGGACAAGCAAAGCATCATGGGGGTTGTAGTCCTACAACATCTGGGGGATCTACTTTTGGGCACCCCTGTAGTACACCGTCATGGCATATTTACTATCTTTGTTGTAGATTATCTGCATTAAAACACAAAACACATTCAACGTTTAGAGTTTATACAACGTGGTTCAGTTGCTTACTTTAAATAGATGTTCTGTGGACTCTCCCTTGTGTGCCTATCAGGATCTAGCAGAGGCTCGTAGTCTTCTTGATCCATTGTCCTGAAAAAAAAAAAAAAAGAGTCATGTGTTTTATTTTCTACACTAAACAAAATTGTTGCATGGTAAACACACCCAGCTAGCAATGCATTATTCCTCGTTAAATCCTCATGTCATACAGAGACGAAATGGACAAAATAAATGGAGAATACGCTCATTGACTTCAAGAGTCATCTCATAACGCACTCTAGGACAGTTTCAGGCCTTCAAACTGTGTGCATTCTGAGTAGACTAATGGTACGCCCAAACTAAGAGGACCAAAAATGGCCGCCCCAACATAGTAAATTTAGATCTGTGCAAGTTGTGTTCCACAATCAATGTGTTAGCAATAGCTTTTATATTTAAAAGACTACAAACAGCAGATTCACTTATAGTTACTAGTGAAGACTAGTGATGTCGCGAACCGTTCGCCACGAATGGTTCGCGGCGAACTCCGGTCAGCTGACACATCCCGGCCAATCTCCAGCAGACCCTCCCTCCCAGACCCTCCCAACTCCTGGACAGCATCCATGTTGAAGCCGCGGTTCGCGGCGAACTCCGGTCAGCTGACACATCCTGGCCAATCTCCAGCAGACCCTCCCTCCCAGACCCTCCCACCTCCTGGACAGCATCCATGTTGAAGCTGCTGTCCCACCTCCTGGACAGCATCCATGTTGAAGCCGCGGTTCGCCGCGAACTCCGGTCAGCTGACACATCCCGGCTGCTGTCCAGGAGGTGGGAGGGTCTGGGAGGGAGGGTCTGCTGGAGATTGGCCAGGATGTGTCAGCTGACCGGAGTTCGCCGCGAACCGCGGCTTCAATATGGATGCTGTCCAGGAGGTGGGAGGGTCTGGGAGGGAGGGTCTGCTGGAGATTGCCGGGATGTGTCAGCTGACCGGAGTTCGCCACGAACCGTTCGCGACATCACTAGTGAAGACAATAACTTTTAAAACAGAACTGCCCAGAGGCCAGGGCAAAGATTCTGTTACGATAGATATCCAATTAGACATTAAAATATTATTTGATGTATTAAGAGCTTTAGGGCTATTCTCACTACACAAAAGTGCAAATTTAAAGAGAAATTGGTACTTTTGCAAAGTGTCTGGGTTGCGCCCTTATAGCTGTCAATAGGGCGTTCTTCCTGTTTGCTCTGACCCATAGCACAAAATTGAAGACAATGCTTCTTACAAAGAAGCATTTGATACATCCTAATACTTCTGATTGGATTGAATCTTCTTATATAAAATACTGACTGTGCTTTTTTAAAATACTGACTGTGCTTTTTTATTGAAATTCCAACGCACTGAAAACATATCATAATACAAAGCAGGAACTACTTTGCCTCACATCAGCAAAACTTGACAAAAGTGTCAAGCTGTCAGTTCTCACAGTCATAATATACAAAGTCCCCCTTAATATGACATAGCCACTATAATTCCCAATTGAGAAATGTTATCAGGCTAACTGATATACAACAGACCCATTTGAATATGTATTTGGTTGAGACTTCTAACTAAATGCCAAACAGTACAAAAGTGAAAACGTAAGTAAATCCACCTGATGTTGATGAAAAAGGACTTTTGTGATCCATCACCAGCCTGTATGCCAAACAGCTGGTAAAGTATCATAAGTCAATAGCTAAAGTCATAGGCAGCCCTAGCTGTAGAATGCTAGGAATCTGACAGACAGGTGCAGAAACAAAAACAAATTAAATACCCAGGGCGTATGCATCCATTGCATAACAGCCTTTATTTATTTATTTATTTTTAGTGCCAATAAATTGATGCGGGAACCCTTATTAAATTTGTTAGTGTGTGATTGTGGTGGGAATGCGTGTAGTGTGTGTGAATTGTATCCATATGCTCATTTTTTTTTCATCACTATCCTCTCCCACACTTTTTTTCTGCCCTCTCTCAAATTTGTATCTCCTATCCATATGTTCCTGTCTCGACCCTATTCCCGCCACTTATGGCTTCCTTGCTTTTGTCTATCTTACCTTTATTCCCCCATTCTCTTGGGAGTGGTTCCCCCCTTATGACCCATTTTTGTGCATTTCTCACCTAAACCCCTTGTGTCCACCACCTTCAGAAGGACCTATCTGAAGTGCAGCCTGACCAAGGATGAACAAGCTCCTCTGCCTAGTCTCTCAGTACAAGTCCAATTGCACAGTATGAAAGGTGAGCGGATACAGTACACAACATCTGCTATTAAGTCAAATCCCATCTACGCGCAGGTCACATCCCAACTTCCTTCCACAGCAGTCAACATTGCATACCCTGAGCTCCAAGCATAAACAGTGCAGAGAAACATGTTTATATTTTGCCAAACACTCCCTTAAAGCTAAGACAATTCAGTGCAGAAAGGGGATACTCTGTGCTCCCTACTTGCAGCTGCCATTTAATACAGACCCCTTACCCCTTAGTATGTTATAGTTTACATTATGGGTTTTATTTTTTACCAATTAAAATGAAAACCAAATTTCAGCAACAATAGTGCATATGGGTGGGGGGTTTAAACCTCCTACAGTCACATATTTTAATAATATATATTTTTTCCAATTATAATAACAATGCAGCTAGCAGTGGTACTGTCTAAAATAAATAAATTATAGACAGATATACATATAATAAAACTGATAGTAAGGAAGTAATGCTCTTTCTAAACTCACCTATTAATCCTTCTGGCTCTTTGTCAGCAAAGCTTATGGCACAGCAGGTCATGTGACTTGGTCAGGCAGCAGCTGGATCACGTGATGCGCCTCCACCACTCTCACCCAGCTTTCTATGCAGGTTCAGGACGTCACGGGTAAACTTTCCTCTCTGAGCTCTGAGTTCTAAACACAAGAGACATAGTGCTTGCAGACAAGTGTTCTAAACTGGGCTACAGAGAGAGGATTCTCAAGGCATCCTATTGTATAATGGATTATATAAATAATGCACTAATATGGGATTTTTATTTATTTTTTAAATTAGAATGATTATATTAAAGCAGTTTGAAGTCCTTGCAGTCTCTGGAAATGCACAGACAAGCAGAAACTGTTATAGTGAGCTTTGCCCAGACCAGGAAGGGGCTCTACCAATCAGGGGCCTCCTCATTTTACTAAAATAGGGCTAGTCACTAAAGTGAGAATTCAAAATGAATTGAACATTTTAGGACAAAGTTAGAGGGATTCGATAGTGCCAGGAAAATGTCCCTAAGTGTTGGCTCATCTCCGCCCACGCTTCTTCCCCACCGCCGTCAGTCGGCGGTGGAGACCTAACGAGCATGCGCGGCAATAGCCATGCTCACATTAGGATTTCCCCATTGGAAAACATTATTCAGGGGAAAATCTGACGCTGAAAGTCCTCATGCAGAGCGTGAGGACATCCAACATCAGGTAACGGACCAAAAGTCTGTTTCAAATCCGGAAGTCCCTCTAGTGGCTGTCTGGTAGACAGCCACCAGAGGAGGTGTTAAGCATCATAGGTAATTATTGCGGTTTATAAAAACTGCAATAATTACCACTGCAGGGATAAGGGTGATGGAAGTTTGCACCCAGACCACTTCAATGAGCTGAAGTGGTCTGGGTGCCTACAGTGTTCCTTTAAACTGACACACTTAGAAATTTGTTTTATCCAATTGAGCTATTCTGGCCTCAAATTTGAAATTCACTTTAAATTCTCACTTTAGTAAATAACCTGTAATCATATCTACCTAAACCAACAGCGTAGATGCAGTCATGTCACCTTGGTGTCTTTGTGGTGTCAATTTAAAACACAAGACAATTCACTATTGCTAATGAGGTTTTACTATATTTACCTCCCTGCATGTGACTTGCACAACCTTCCTAAACACAAAGACCCCCAACGGTGATGTCGACAATGGTGAACTGATGGCCAGGAGGGGCAAGTGATGCTGAGTTCTACTTACCTGAACCTGACTTTCACAGGTGCGCCCATCTGCTTTCAGTGGGTCCTCTTGAGCTAAAGTTACTGCTGTACTCTCGCGCGTGTGTAAGAATGAGCATAGAGGTGTATGGAGGATCCCGCGTAACCCGATATAGACAGAGCCAATTCCCTGCAGCCATCACTAACGACAGCGTTGGCCTTTGATACTTCTAGATGGCGATTGCACTGCCCAGTGTCTAGAAGTGTCAGGCAAGGGAAATATATAGAGACAAAATAGTTCCTACTTTTTCACAGTGTTTCATCTCTTGACTGGGTTGGTATTTCAGTGAAATTCTAACAGCGTCAGTATGAGAATTTCATAAAGATTCTATATTTACAAAATACAAGGCTGGGGGGAGGAGAGATGACAGCTGCGTGACTACCCCAGTTTTCTGGGACACCAGAGCAAACCCCTCTCAGATACTAAGTTCACCATTTAAATGTCCACTAATCCACTCCTTCTAGCATGTAAGCTCATCGAGCAGGGTCCTCAACCCCCTCTGTTCCTGTACGTCCAGTGGTCTGATCTCAATTATGTGTCTGTTAGTCCACCCATTGTACAGCGCTACCAAATTTGTTGGCGCTATATAAATAATAAAATAATAATAATAATCCATGAATTGTTGTGACCTGACCAGGGGATGCATATATTTGGCTATTCTGGCAATACCTTGCTCAATATCCAAAATAATGAATAACTGTGTACAGAGCTAATTTTACAACAAATACCTGATTTAAAGAGTTTTTTTTTTTTTTACTGACAGCATGAAAATAGAACATTTTATTTGTATTGGCAAAGTCTCTGGACAATTAAATGTATTCAGTGCAAGCAGAGGCCGCAGCAGCTTAACCAAACCCCATTATTCATTAGTTAAAGTCAGCACATTGTGCCAGTTGAACTCTCCCTGATTCTATGTATCCATATGGCTTTGAACTGTGGGCAGGTTATTCCCAAAAGAAAAATGGCGCCTCCAGGAACTCTCGCGAGAGCGGTCTGTGCGTTGTTTTTTTGTTAGCCCAGGGAGTGTAATCGAACGGAGAGCAATCGATCCCATTCTTTCTAAGCAGCGAGGAGTGCATCGATGGTGCGGCGGTTCGGGTCTGGTGTGGGGAGAGAGAGGGAGGAGCCTGCGGGAGTGCGATCACCCGCCTCTAGCAGTATGGCTGCCGTGAGTAGAGGAGAGAGCCCACTTGGAGACAGGTATGTCCTGGGACAGGTTCCTTGCAAGGCCTGGCAAGGTTAGTCCAACATGACAGGCCTGACCGGAAGAGACCCTCTGAGCCACTTCCGGTGACCCAGAGTCAGCCATTACCTGCCCTCTAACAGCCTCACTGCAGGCTGCAGGCCAGGGGGAATACAACTTAACATCTATCATTAACACCACAGTTATTATCCTGCTATTAAATACATCTCATTGCCATCACTAAATATCATGGCTGGCCAAGCTCCCTCTAAATCAAAAGTTTGACATTCCACCCCCCACCCAACTAACTATACATCCCATAATATTTAGCATGTTCTACATATTGGCCACACAAGGTCTAAATTTAATTAAAAGTTGCGTTATGTCCTGCATTCATTATGCTTTGTTCGCAAAACACCACGTAGCGGCGTGAAAACGTAAAAAAAATAAAATAAATAATAATAATTAAAAAAAAGTCCTGTATTGTTGAGAAATGAAAATGAATTTTAAAGGGAATTCTAGGTTGTAGGCCGTAATAGCGGATTTGGACGTATCCTCTAGACCAGCGATATGCAACCTTCGGCACTCCAGATGTTGTGGACTGCATCCCCCCCCCCGTAATGCTTTTACGCACAAAGCATCATGGGAGGTGTAGTCCAAAACATCTGGAGTGCCGAAGGTTGCCTATGCCTGCTCTAGACTGAAACTCGTTTGAGCAGGGTCCTCTGCAACCTATTGTTCCAGTAAGTTTTCTTGTAATTGTCCTATTTATAGTTAAATTTCCCCTCTCCCCCCCATAATATTGTAAAGCGCTACAGAATCTGTTGGCGCTATATAAATGGCGATGATGATAATATTTCTGCGGACCTGCTATAGTCGTTTCTCTGCTTTATCCTGTATTGTGCACGTCCGTATTTATTTTACTATAATCTGAGGTTATGCGCAAATCTCTTTGCAAATATCTAAAAGACAAAATGTAGACTAAAAAAAAAGTTGGTTTGGAAAATTATTCAGCTCAGCTGTGTCTTGACACTTAGCCCCAGTTTTGTTATTCAGATTTTAATGTGCAACAATTAGATGTTTATTGAATAGCCCTTTCAGACATATAAGGACTGACCCTTATTTTGGTTTTCATTATTTTTGGTTTAATGAGGCAGGTAACAATTATTTGTTTGGCTTTTTTTTACATTTAATTTTCTATCCATAAAATCAAAACTCATCTGCATGTTCTACAGCTTAGCAGAACCACCCCATATTTGTCCAACACTAACTTATTTTCATGTTGGGCAATGGCCAGTCAAATGCTTATCATAGAGAATGAATCAGAATTATACCCTACTGTGAGAATTGTTGGGAATTCTTAGATTATTCATAGTAAATTTCATGAACTGGAAAAATATCCCTAAATCTAAACAATATTTCCAGTTCAGCGTTTTAGATTGAAATTTAAACTTAATTTTGAATTTTACACAATTCTCACTTAAGTGAATAGCCCTGATAGTGGACACAGTGAACACATTTGGAAGCTATGAAACGTTTATAAAAATATATATTATTCAATATCAGATCTTGTACATATGACTTCTCTCGTAGAGCAGACAAGTCACAGGCTTGTAAGCTTTAGTTTCTATTTTCAGTTTCACAAAGGAGGCTACATTTCTCTAAAAGGCAGATAACAGAGCTGGAGACAAGATCTTCTAAAGTCACATTGCATTGTACCAGTAGGCTTAAAGGAACACACTATAGCTGTATAAATACAAACCTGTATTGCCAACACCATAGTGTCCCTGTCCTTATCTGGTTTAGTGCCTCTCCGCCTGTTCACCATAAAATAATGAAACTCAATTACATTTTCCCAGCTCCAAGACTACATGCATCTCTGTATTCCTCGACATCATCTAGGACCTCCTCCAGTGATGGTTCAATCCAATGTTCCTCATTGAGGAGCATCAGGGACCCGATAAACATGCACTGAGTACTGTGCACTCAATGCTTCCTATATGAAAACATTTCATGCAAAGCTTTCCTGTGACATTTTGTTTGCAATCTGCGGCTCCCCAAGGTACATATGATGTCCGGTTCGTGGGGTAATGTTATTGCACTATCACAAACAAATTCTTTCCATATGTTAAGCTCCACAATCACAGCAGGACAATGTTTAATCTAACTAAGCAGTGTTATATGGGTAGGCAACCTTCGGTACTCCAGATGCTATGGACTGCATCACCCATGATGCATTGTGGTTTTAAGAGCATTTTGGGAGATGTAGTCCACAACATCTGGAGTGCTCAAGGTTGCCCACCCTGCATGTGGTAGATTTAGAAATAATTCTCAGTTGAAGACCAATGAAGAGGTGGTCCATCTTGGAAATGAATAGGCGAGGTCTTGGCTTTTACAACCGCTTCATGAAAGTTGAGCTTTGTTTCTTAAAATATCTGGAAAGCACCAAACTTTTATGTTTGTTTTTCTTTGTCACTATACTTCGAAAGGAGTATTTATATAATATTTGTAAGCTTGCTTCTCGCTGCATTTCATAGACTGTAAGATTTACAGCGCAGAAATATAATTTTTTTTTTTAAACTATTGATTCCTTAAAGGGAGCTTGCCATAATCAAGCAGATCTAAGAACAAACTAAAGGGGCCCTTTATTTTATTTATTACTGGCATTTATAACGCGCCAACATATTCCGCAGCGCTGTATACTTGGGAGAACAATATAAACAGACCGATACAAAAGGGAGATGGCCCTGCCTGTGAGCTTACAATCTAAAAGTAAAATAGGGAAATGAGACAAGAGATAGCAGAGGAAATTGAAAGTGATGGCAGAGAGAATTTATAGTGTGACCGCAGTGATTAATAACATGTGATTGGCTGTGGTTGGAAACAGCTGGAGGAGTCAGCTAGGAGTGGAAAGCAGGGTTCTGCAAACTCTGGCCCTGCACATATTACTGATCTACAACTCCCATGATTATCTTGCTATCTGTTTTATTCAAGAACCATGGGAGTTGGGGTTCAGCAACATTTAGAGGGCCAGAGTTTGTAGAACCCTGTACTATAGCAACGCATCCTCCTGTGCGGGAGGCTGAAACAAGAAACAAAAGCGTACATACCTACTCCATAACTTTATATAAAGCTTACTCTATATATTTATACAGGTATGTGCTTCTTCTTCCACCTAGGTTCATTTTATGAAATATATATTGAGCCAGCAACATCCCTGGACCTTTAAGGAAATGTAACAGATACGGTACGTATATCACAACTGTCCAATGTCTTTTCTTTGTCTTTTAAACCAGTGATTGTTAATGCTGTACCTGTTTTTTATCAAGTTTTTTTTTTTTTTATATTTTGTGTACTTGAGATATTTTGTACGTTTTATCCCTTTCCCCAACTCATAGTAATTGGCAGTAAGTGGAATATATATATATATATATATATAATATATATGGGCTGTAGCTACAGTGATCGTGACATGTCAGTCTACTAATATCTGATTGTGTTCTCTTGTTTTGACACAGGTAGATGCTTCCAGAAACCTATGGAGAAAAAGGAATTTGAGACATGGCTTGAAACCCTCTCAGCTGCGTTTTATACCCTCACTGACCTGCAGAAGAATGAAACTCTGGATCACTTGATCAGCCAGAGCGGTGCTGTTCAGCTAAGGCACCTCTCCAATAACTTAGAAACTCTACTGAAAAGGGATTTCCTTAAACTTCTTCCACTGGAACTTAGCTTCTACTTGCTGAAATGGCTTGACCCGGAGACCTTACTCACGTGCTGCCTTGTCTCGAAGCAGTGGAACAAGGTTATAAGTGCCTGTACGGAGGTGTGGCAGACGGCCTGCCGGAACCTCGGCTGGCAGATTGACGATGGCGTGCATGAGACCGTGCACTGGAAGAAAGTTTACCTGAAGGCGGTATTAAGGATGAAACAGCTCGAGGATCATGAAGCCTTCCAAACAGCATCACTTATTGGACATAGTGCCAGAGTTTATGCACTTTATTATAAAGACGGACTGCTTTGTACAGGTACCAGACTTGGAGAATGCTGTCCTGTACAATTGGGATTTCTCTGTTAAATGTTTGTGGTTTATATAGAGAATGGCAGCTTAACTTTAGGGGAAATTCCAGTGGTTGTGGTACTAGGAGTAATATATGTAAATACGAGTTACCTGCATGGTGAAGCTAATCGTGGCTGTATTGTGTGTGTGCATGAGTGTCTCACATTCGGGTGTATGGCAAAGTGTCTAGTGTACGCAGTAGCAATTTTACTGCAAGACACTGTCTACTGATAGCATTACCAGGGGGGCATTAGAATAGTTTTGCACATTTACATTTTGTATTTTAGTAAATAGAGTACCTCGTGTCTTATTTTATGAATCCTCAGGTTTTTCACTTTTCCTCCTGGAGAATTATTGTTAAGTTCTAGCAAAGAGCAATGTGAGCCACATATTGCAGACTCAGGCGTTTCTTCTGAATCAATTGTGGCACCTCTCACTGACTGTAACTCTTAGTGCACCTGGAGGTTATTGTCGTGGATCTGCTGCGTTGGCTGTAGTTCAGTGACTGAGTTGGATGTAGAGTATATAAAAGGTTTGAATATGATAATACTTAAAGGAACACTATAATGTTAGGAAGCCAAAACTATCCCTAAATTTAGGATACTCCCTCCCCACCCTGCATGAAAAGGTTAAAAACAATTCCAGAACTGATGTCCCTTGGCGTTGGATTGCTCTCCTCCACCTGCGGTGTTACACTAATGGAAGAACCTAATGCTCGTGCGGTGCTTGCTGCGCATGCACATTAGAGCTTCTCCATAGGAAATTATGGAATCTGTGTGTTCTTATGGGAATTTTTAAGATGCTGGATGTCCTAATGAAAAGTATGAGGACGTCCAATGTCATTTCACTGAGTTAAACTCTGCCTGGAAGTGTCTCTAGTGGCTGTCTTTCCAGACATAACTCTGCAGTGTAAACATTGCAGGTTCTCATTGATTTTTATTTTTTTATTCCCATACTTTATGTATGTACTTTATGTAATACCTTAATGTGCCGAACTCGAGCTCCACCCCCTTCGATTCCCCTTTGCATTCATGCATGTGTTTGGCTTGATAACACACTGTCTGCTTACACCATTAACTTGCAGAAGCTCTGTACTGATATCGTCCAGGGGACTGACTTTAACAGCAAACGAATAGGCAAGATTTACCGCATGTAGGAAAATACAGCTAAAAGTGATAAATTAACACAGATCTGTATTATTGGAGCAAAGCTGGATATCCTGTGTGTTGGGGCACATAAACTATTATAAAAGAGCCCATGCTGCATACCTTGCGTGTGTGGGAGGCATCTTCCTTGAATATTTGGTCAAAATTATTAATATCAAATAGACACAACATTAAAGGAACACTATAGGAATCAATGCATTTCCATGAGGAAAATTCAGCGTCCCCATGCAGAGCGTGGGGACACTGAACGGCAGAGCTGCCTACTGTGCAGCACTGAGCCAGGAAGCCCCACCACTGGCCACTTGGAGGTGTCCCTAGGGGCAATGTAAACACTGGATTTTCTCTGGAAAGGCAGTGTTTGCATGAAAATGCCTGAAGACCTATGATTATACTCACCAGAACAACTACATTAAGCTGCAGTTGTTCTGTTGACTATAGTGTCCCTTTATAGAGTCTCTAATAAAATATACTGTCAGTGTGACCACCTATCAGGCGAGGTGAAGTTACTGAGCAATATTTATGGATGGCCAGAACTGCTTCAGTCCAGTAATGGAATCTATAACTTGTCCAAATCAAGTCATGATGTCAAGCTATATTTCCCAAACCTCGCTTTCATGCAAAACAGTTCCCGCTCTGCATGTGTAATCTTTAAATCTGCCACTGTAAGACTGAACATGACTAAGCTTGAGAATAAGGAAGCTTTTTATCTGGCAATCACAGATGTCATATTGTGGTTAGGACAAGATCGAGAAGGCATTCCTATTAAACCTATCATACTTCCTCAGAAACCTTTGCTAAATGTTGTCAGAAAAAAAAAACTTCTTAAAAGTGACGTTCAGTTTATTCATTACATTAGTAACACTTTTTAACATTCAAATACATTTATTTTTAAAGGTAATACAATGTTAAACACAGATCTGCAGTTAAACACAGGTCACCAGTCAAGCCATAAGACTTGCTTTTCCCACAGAAATCACAAATTTGTAGTGATGTTACTACCGCAAAGGATTCTGGGTGGGCATATGCAAATTAGTTCAACAAAGACCTTTTTTCCTCATTCTATTTTAAACATGGATTCCTTTGATTCTGTGTTTGCTCTATACAACAGCTTTGAAACACAACTTAGGAAAAGATGCTAAGCAATGAAAAACACCCTCTATCCTGATTCCTGCAACAGTTCTAAAAATGAAAAGCATACTGTCAGGAAGACAAGAGTACAATGCATGCTGGAAAAAAGGGGAGATAGTGAAAGGGCAGATATATTGTTAAAATAATTTACAGGTCGATGAACTGTTTCATTCCAGTGATTGCGATATAACACACATGCTTTTGTAGTCTCTGGTCAAGTGGCTGTCTTGTTTGTGTGTTTTTAACTTTTTTTTTTTATTATTTATTTTTTTTAATCATATTTTTTTTATTTTTTTTTGCGAATCAATGCCTAAGATGATGTCCTGAGCAATGTTTTAATCAAAACCTGGTCACGTACTGACAGTTCTGCCTCCTCTTGTGTCACTGGTTCAATGATTGTATGGGCCGTAAAGGGAAAAGATGGCTAGTGCACATAACGGAGCTTCTAGTACAGGGGTAGGCAACCTTTGGTACTCCGGGTGATGTGGACTACATCTCCCATAATGCTTATACAGCCATAATGCTGGGCTGCCAAATGTTACCTACACTGCTCTAGTACAATCTCTTATGTTCAGTATCAGCCCATGCGGACACCGATCTGCGTATGGCTTGAATACCTGTTAGTACTGTTGTAGAAAGGGGAAGAACCAAGGACTATGGATTTTTGAAAAATACTTATAATAGCGTAGAGATTAAAACAAGGATGTGTATAAAATCTACTAACAATCCAGTTATAAACCTTTCATTTCACGGTACAATGAAGATTGTTCTTTATGTTTCTCATGTTTCTGTATCGCAGGTTCCGATGACTTGTCTGCAAAGCTGTGGGATGTGAGCACTGGTCAATGCATATACGGTATCCAAACGCATACCTGTGCTGCAGTGAAGTTCGATGAGCAGAAACTTGTAACAGGGTCCTTTGATAACACCGTTGCCTGCTGGGACTGGATTTCAGGGGCTAGAACTCAGCACTTCCGAGGACATACCGGCGCAGGTAAGTCATAAGTCTTGTGTGCAGATGAAGATGCTGAAGTGTTTACAATGTGTTGGAAACTTCAGTAATCGGTAGATATAATGGCTACATGTAGAGACAATTGTCCCCTTCTGTGCAAGTTTTGACGGATGTTTTTTGTGCTAGATAATAAGTAATATGCAAGTTTGCATATAGAGACTCTCCACTGCACAAACAAATAGAAAGCAATATTTAGGAGCTATGCCAACAATGAAAACATACATGCATTTAATTATTAATGTTTTCAATGGGGGTGCATCTAAAACAGCTTGAAAAATGTGCAGATCCCTTCTAGCCCCACCCAGAATGTCTCTGGCTGTCCAATCACAGACTTCCCAATGCAGCTTAATGAGAAGTCTTTGCAAGGCAGGAGCACTGGTCAATTGCTGCCTCTTGAGTTTATCTGCACTGAGCTAACCAACCAACCAGGCAGTAACAGGACTGGCTTTCTGACAGCCAGGAGGTGTAACAAGGTTAATTTATAAAAGTTATAACTTCTTTTGAAATTGCACTTTTTGCAAAATGAAAAAAAGGACACACTCTGCACATGTAAAGCACTTCATTAAGCTGAAGTGTTTTAGTGGCCAGAATTGCCATGGTTTGAGCATATTTTCTCTTGATCTACCCCTCACACTGGGGGCAGAGCTTCAATCCCGCCAACTTTCCACTGCGAGTTTCAATTCATCTATAACGCTTACCGATTGAGAAACCTAGAAGGACTGGTACACCAACATCTAACCTCCAGTATTCCTTACATATGCTCGAACCGGGCTGGCAGTGTGAAAGACATCTCCCAGCTTTTGGCTTTTTGCCATACCGGCTTGCATGAGTAGCGGTATCTGATACCGCACATACTCACTTTCTTTTATCTTGTAAGCAGCTGCAATAATAATGGTTTAATTTGTTCAATAAATGGTTATATTTTTATAGATCCACAAGCTTGTCATACAGACTATACTATTATCTATTCTTTGTACTTTCTTTTTTTTTTTTTCTACGTACATGACTACCCGTGGAAATCTTCCTGAGAAATATTAAGTATTCATATGTACATCTGCACTTTCTGATTTAAGATCACTATTTACCTATGCGCTCCACTCACACTTTGTATCTAAAATTACATGCATGTATGTGATAGTTTTGTATACTTTAACCTTTTTAGAGCCCATTGGGAATACCTCTAACACTGAGAGTGTTCTTACAGATAGACACATGGGGACCTGTGCCGTTCTTTTAAAGCATGGGTTCTCAAACTCCGGCTCCCCAGATGTTGCTGAACTACAACTCCCATGATTCTTTGAATTACATAGCCAGAGAATCATGGGAGGTGTAGTTCAGCAACATCTGGGGGGCCGGAGTTTGAGGACCCCCTGTTTTAAAGCATTGTTATGCTTCCCAAAATGTTGGTACGTGGTAATGAGGATAGGGAATCGGCTATAAAGGAGGCATAGTGGTAGTGTTCGATTAAAGAAGCTAGGCAGGTCAGGTAAATAGAATAAGTACATTGAGTGGAATCATTTAATGGATAATAAACCCAAAGATGAAACAATTGAACCTGGTATGACAAGTTCTCTATAATTTCTCATTTTTGCTATTGTGTTTTTCATATAGATTTTGATTTTTCCCATAATTCCTTGAATGTTACAATTTTTGTCCTCTTTTTAATTCTAGTGTTTAGTGTGGACTATAACGATGAGCTAGATCTGTTAGTCAGTGGGTCTGCGGATAACACTGTGAAAATATGGGCCTTATCTTCTGGATCATGTTTGAATACGCTCAATGGCCACACGGAATGGGTCACTAAAGTAGGTTTGACCTCTCATGCTGCAAGGCCTCATGAAACACCGCCTGTTAGGTTTAAATACATTGGGGGTGGGGGGGGGTTGTGGGCACTGCTTATGTCATAGATTGTAAATCCTTTCTGTAATCAACAAGGCTGAATAATAGATTTCCCTCCACCTGCGTATAGATTCTACTACATACTGCAAGGCATCACTAGTCATGTACTGTTCAACAGCATGAAGTATAGATGTGTCTGGGGAACCTTGGTGCAACTGCTGACTTTACTTCATGCAAAGTATTGATTGAAAGAGGCTCAGACGTGTAATAGGAGTCCTGATTACACAGTCTGATTGCTTCCTCTTTGCACTGTGCTGGCCACAAGTATAACAAATATTTAGATTTCAAGATTTTTAGAAATTTTATATTTTACACCTTTGCTGCTTCCACTCTTTTGGCTGTGTTGTAAATATATGTAATTTTCAGTATCACTCTAAGCCGGCTATGCTTTGATAATAGTCTCTCACTTAAAGTGAATTATAACAAAGAAAATGTAGTCACTGCCTGTAAGAATAGATAATCATGCTCTATGGCCAGGGGTAGGCAATCTGAGGCACTCCAGATGATTTGGACTACATCTACCATCATGCTGGCAAAGCATCCAGGGAGAAGTAGTCCACACCATATGGAGTGCCTCAGATTGCCTGCCCCTGCTCTATGTAGTACAGAACTTTGCCCAGCAGGAGGTGTGACTACCCATAGGCTGCAAGTGACTGCTTGCATAAATGGATCGGCCGCTTACCAACAAAAATATTGTTTGAATCCATGACCGCCATATTAGAAAGATTGGCTTAAAGTGATCCTTGAAAAATAATAATCTAATTATTTTTTTTTAAATTAATATTCATATTTATAAAACGGCCTAATGACTGGTCACCTGTTAAACCAAAGTATCTCAATGTGCAAGCAATGTGGGTTGTTTTTGTTTTTTTTAGTTAAATAATGGACATAAATGATGAATGTAGTTTCTCCATGAATTCACATGATGAAAATTACACTTATGCGATCAATACAGCTTATGGCTGCATTGAAAATGTATTGGATGAGATATTATGTCTGTCCTATAAAGACATGTTTTTTTCCTCTAAATCTTTTCTCTTTTTCCCTGCAGGTAGTTTTACAGAAATGTGAAGTGAAATCTATCATGCACAGTCCCGGAGATTATATACTTCTCAGTGCTGACAAATATGAAATCAAGGTCTGTGTGCTCCCTTCCTAAATAATAGCTCTTCACATGGATAGCCCTAGTGTGAAACTTGTCTGGAATTCAGACGGGTTATTCACTAATGTGAAAATTGTTAAAAATTCAAACTTCATTTCACATCTAAGGCAAAAGTAGTCAAACTGGATGATAATTAACTTCTGGAGATTCTAGATTTCTATAATTGATATTTTGGTGAATAACCCTGACAGTGAATCTAAAATGTCGGGACAAAAATAGCAGAACAGAAAATCTAGTTTACTTGGAGTTTTTTCCCCATGTTTGGTTGTAAAATTATGATGTCGCAAAAATTCCCCCTTCATCGCGTTAATTTGAAATAGTGATCGTTAATATTTGTGCACTAATGTCCAAAATAGACATTCGGTAAGGGGACTTATTCACTAAATAGTAAGAACATCTTGGTTGGTTATTTGCCCGGGAACTGAGTTGAAGGTTCTATTCCCACCAGTGTTGACGTTACAGCCTGCCAAGGTCAATAAAACGAGCACAATTGAGATACGTCATAACATCTCTAAACCCCAGACTAGTTGAAATTGATAGAGAATGTTAATGTATCCTTCTACATAGTGTATATTATTTAATTATTATATTATCTCACTTCTCAGTGAATAATTCCTTTTACATCCCAAACACTAAGCTTACATTTTTAATTAATATATTTTGAGAAATTTACCGTAATAGAATATGAAAAATTTATCTTTGTGTTGTGAATTTCTTTAAAATTCTTCTGTACAATAAAAACTGTGTGTGTGTGGTTTGTAAATATTCTGGATCCTATACTTTTGTGTAGGGTTTAGATGTGGAAAAACACTGATTTTTTTTAAACCAGACACTTAATGCACCCAGCCGATTGATGCAAACTTAAACTAGGTATGTGCTGTGTTTTTAGTACTGAAATGCTGTACGTACAGACTCCAAGCACCATGACCACTTCAAATCATTGAAGCATCTATGATGCTTGGGGTTGCCTTTTTAAATGAAAATGAAATCAAATGACTGAAATCTGACCGCTTCATTCTCAAGTATATCAGTGATGTCTGATTTTGGAATCCGGACAGGCTGAGCAATAAAGGGCAATGTAGTCACTGGTGTAAATGTTCAGAAATGACTGACTAGTTTGTTTAAATGTTCACAAATAATGAACATGGTTTGTTTTACAGATTTGGCCGATTGGGCGAGAAATTAACTGCAAATGCCTGAAGACTCTATACGTCTCAGATAATCGCAGCATTTGCTTACAACCACGGCTGCATTTTGACGGCAAATACATTGTGTGCAGTTCAGCTATAGGTCTATACCAGTGGGACTTTGCTAGCTATGATATCCTAAGGTATTTATGGCTGTGGATTTTAATATGGATGAATTGTTGGAAAATATTTAATATTTTTTTATTATTTGTCTTTAGTACACATGAGTGAAAATTAAATTGCCCCCAACTGGAGCCATTACAGTTGAAGGTTCCTCCTTAGCACCCACACATTGGTGCTGCACATTGTAGAGTGTAGGAAAGGCCACCAATCTCCTCATAGATGCAACTCCATGCAATTCGTGAAGACGCTGAACATGCAGCACTGACCCAGGAAGCATCTCTAGTTACAGTCTTTGTGTCTGCATCTGGAGGTGTCACTAGGCACTGGAAAGGCAGTATTTATATTTATATGCCTGCAGGTACAGGCTATAGACACCAGAACAATTAAATTGAGCTGTAGATGTTCTAATGACTACAGTGTCCCTTTAACCTAACTTGCCACCTGCTGAAGCTTAACCACAGCATTGCCCTGTGTGCACTTCATGGCAGAAGCAGGCCGCCTTGTCAATGTGTGTGTCTGCAGCCTTCCTCAGTATTCAAGATAGCCTTAAAGGACCACTATAGGCACGCAGACCACTTCAGCTTAACAAAGTGGTCTGGGGGCCAGGTCCATCTAGGATTAACCCTTTCTGCTGTAAGAAACTGCTATGTTTACAAATGGGTTAATCCAGCCTCTCATTGACAGCCGCTAGAGGCGCTTCTTGTGATTTTCACAGTGAGAAGAAGCCAGCTTCCATAGGAAAGCATTGAGACTGCTTTCCCATGGATTGGCTGAATGCGCGCGCTGCTCTTGCCGCGCATGCGCATTCAGCCAATGACGGCGAAAAGGAGGAGGAGAGTTCCCCGTGCTGAGCAAGCCGGCGGGGAAAAACAGGTAAGATTTAAACCCTTCAATCCCCTAGAGCCCGGCGGTGGGGGAGACCTAGAGACGGTATAGTGCCAGGAAAACGAGTATGTTTTTTCCTGACACTATAATGGTCCTTTAACATTATCGGTTCTATATGTATCCATTGTTCCCTTCTACCTTCACACACTGACAGTGCTGCCTGCTGCTTTTATGAAGTGCGCAGAAGCCAGTGGTGTGATTGGTCTGTGTGGATATAAAGTAGCGAGCAAGTTAGTCTGACCCAACATGGTCACTCAGCCGAAGAAAGCCAAATGTCATATGTAATACATTTAAGAAGTGAAAATTTGATGACAGCTATCCCTGCCAGTACAGTTCAGTTGGCAAACTCTGTATGAGTTGACTGCACGCCCCACTTGTTTGATGGAACAGTGGTGTTATGGGGTTGGAGAGTAAGGTGGTGAAGTAAGTAGACCTTATAGACCTTAAAGTTAACAAAAAAATAGTGGCGTGTGTATTTCACAACTATTTATCTGCTCTCCTTCTCCCCACAGAGTTATAAAAATGCCAGATTCTGCAAATATTTCCTTACTTGGCTTTGGCAATATCTTTGCTCTTCTCTTCGACAACCACTACCTGTACATCATGGATTTAAGGACAGAGAAACTGATCAGCCGATGGCCTCTGCCAGAATATCGGAAATCCAAAAGGGGCTCGAGTTTTTTGGCTGGAGAAATATCTTGGTTAAACGGGCTGGACGGTGAAAATGATATTGGTTTGGTCTTTGCCACAAGTATGCCAGATCACAGTATCCATTTGGTATTGTGGAAGGAGAATGGTTGACTGCCACGAACAATGGCAACTACTGATTTTTAACAGAAAATTCAGACTGGTGTAATAGCAACGACTTTCTGAGCCTACCTTGCATGAACCAAAGTTTCACATCCAGTATCCCATCATGCAGTGCACAATCTTTTACCTTTTGGTTTCAGGTGGAACAAGGGAGTGTTTATGGAACACAAAAAGCGGTCTGCATGTTTACCGAATTTCACTGGAAACTCACATTTTGAAACTTTGCTGTTCTTATTTGCATCCCAGACACAAGCAACTACTGCTACATTTTAAGAATATACATATAATAGATTCAACACATTTTACTGTAACCTCTAAATTCAGAACAGCAGTCATTTCCATCTTACAGTCCATTTGTACTATATATTTCAACATGCAATAGTGTTTATACATGTAATCTATTTTAATACAAAAGTCATATTTAACAAACTTGGTAGTTTAACTATAATGTACGAATGCACCATCGTAGACACACAAAGGTTTATATCCCTGTTTCACATCACTTCCCCTTATTTAAAAAAATAATAATTAAATGTAAAGAAAGGCCAATGGAAGAAGATTCTAGAGCAAAGAGGTCTAAACTTTTGTCACTATAGCACTTATGGACAATACCCCAACGGCATCATGGGAAATATACTCCACCAAAGTTAGCCCCATCATCTTTCACGTGCCAGGAGTGCGCCCCCATCTAGAACTTAGGTTTGAGACAAGGGGTTTTCACTAACCTACAGCCATGATGAATCATGTTTGACTGTTCTATTGCGAAATGCAGTGAAAGTGTGATGTTAAAAGTACATTTAAAGATGTTAAAAACATCTTTTCTGTTACCCATCACCCAAATAAAATTTCAGATATCTTGACTGGACTGGTGTGGTTTCCAGGGTTATCTAGAGCCCGTGCAATGTTTGGGCCCAGAAGTAAACGGGTTACATTTCCAACCGGGTGTTAAAATGTCCTAATTTTTTGGAGATTGTTAGACGTCTGATGTAAATCTATGAAAAAAAGTATATGGGATCTCAATGTAACTCTGTAGATCAGCACAATATGAAATCTGTCTCGGTTACAATCAGTCATTTGCTACATTGTGGATTTCAAATTTCTGTGTAGCTATTTTGGCTTAAAATTCACTTTTAGGGTTATTTTCTTTAATTGGAAATCCAAAGGGAATTTCAGATTTATTTCTCTAAATCAGCTATGCTCTCAGTCCAGCTACTTGGCCTAAGATTATAACCTATAACTCTGGTTGTGCAGTGTTTTAATACAAAGCTGTACTATAGCTCCCCCTGCTGCCCTATAGTGTACCTTTTAAGCAACTACTGAAAGGAACTGTGATAGTTTACCCTCATGGATTTATCACCTGTGGTTTTTTGCAACTGTTTACACACAGATATTCAGTAAACTGAAAAACTGTTATGCATTCTTAAATTGAGATGTATCAGTGCCTGCTATACCCTTATAATAAAATCTCAGGATGTGACTTGTCAGCAGGAATTGGGAAGGTATACAAAGTTATTGATTGTTTACCTACCTATCCATAGTTTTGCTTTAGACACATGCAGTTTTCAATATAATTTAAAAATCTGTAATATGGAAATACGCTATTGCTACTTACCTTTTGATGTCCCTGTTTATGCTGCAAATCAACATGATTTGCTCCTTCTATAATAATCTTTACTGAAACTCTAGTCAATCAGGTCTAATAAAACCCTGGAGTATAGTTTAGCTTTATTTTTCTATTGATAGTTGTGCAGACAACACTAGCCTTCATTTAAAAATAAAATTTAAAGGGACACTCCTAACAGCTTATTGGAGCGGTTATGCTGTGGGAGGTACAGATGAAGTCACTCCAATTTCAGGCATTTTAGTATAGCAAATAATAAAGCTGTATTCTGCAGCACCTAACCCTCTCTCTCCCCCCCACGACGGTTTGGGATTTATATGAGGAAGTTTCACCTTCCCGATTGTGAGCCCCGTGCTTTTTATTACTGGATGACCAGGCGATATGTGGCCACACCATGCTTTGAGCAATTCAACATAAGAAGAGGAGTGCATGCTAAAATACCACGGATGCTTTCGACATCTTGGAATTGACCTGCTATTTGGCTGTGCAGAAAGGCTGCAGGGTTTCAGTGCTCAGAGTCCATCATTGTGTTTACAAGTAGTTTAATACAGGAGTGAACTTACTCTTTATGAACTGGGAGGCAGAAGGCTTAGAGTAACAAGGAATTCTCCAGTTTTGTCTAACACACTGCCTTTTCACACCATAGCCACTAGGTGTAAAGTTATGGCGTTTGGTGTGCCCATTTACAATACTTGCCCAAGGCCTTAGACGAATTTTCAATAACTGAATTGGCTGGAATTCACCAGGGAAAATTGAATATACTGTAACTGTTTGGGCTGGATACTGTTTGCATTTCGGCTAAAATGTACTGCAATATAAAGATGTATAAATATTTTTGTTCCTTATTTTAATCGGACCATTACAGTGACCTCAGGCACCCATATATGGTTTTACAGTTGCTTATGAATTTCAAATTAATTTTATTTTTGCTATCTGCTCCTCCCACCGGCACTATTCCTTTCTGCCCCCATAATACAGATCTACGTACATCACATTTCTGTAAATTCGCAATGTACTGCTCAGTCCGCGTAGCTTGTTGCTAACTTGCAAATGTGACAATGTGATTTTTGCTCATTTGGCACTATGATAGCTCAGAAAAGAAAATTACCCCATGATAGTATATAATTTGTTTTAAACGTCAGTATTCCAAACGCTGCAATTAACACTGAAAGGTTTGTGTGCTTTATTTATTTTCCAAATTAAAGTGGGGTAAAAAACAAAAGTCACGGTAGGTAAAATAAAACACTGATACACTACACTGAGTGCAGGTAGGGTCAAAGCAGTACTAGTACGGAGATCAGTAGTGAAAGGTTGTGTATATATGTTTTGTTTTTTAATACACGTAGAATTCTGGAAAAACAGACCACAATCATCTTTCTGCTTCCCTTGTCTTAGATCAAAGTGAGGGAATAGAGAGACAGGATACAGTGTCACAGAGTGGGAATACAAATCATTGGAAGTAATATTGTATCAGCCTGTCACCACGATCACGTGACTCTGCTCGCAGTTTGCCTGAATTGCTAGGCAGTTACCTCAATCTGATCCAGTGAGGTAAGAATAATTTTGGGGCTGAACGGGCACAGACATTAGGAAGTGTCATTATGCCTTAACATCGTTAAAGCTAATGCTGTTCAGGACATAGTGACATGTCCTAAGGGCAGCATTGGGTTAATGTAGATTTATCAGTCTACAACAACTGGAATATGGAAATATCTAAATGGTTATTGGCTTCACACCATCTTTTATTCTGTTAGATGGACAGTATACTGTAATTGTGCCATGAACTACAGCAACCAACACGCAGATACATCCCACCCACGTTCACACCAATAGCAACAACTACTGGCTACATAAATAACATACTTATTTTAATGGTTAGTAAAATAAAAAAATAAAAAAATTAATATAAATCATTTTCCTGATGACTTCTTGAAATGCTTGGCTTTCTGATGATGTTTCTTAAACTTCTTCTGGGCTGGGCCATTCTGCTTCTGCAAAGACAAATACCAGGACACTTGCAAATCCGCATACAGATCAAACAATTATGTGCTGCTGGCTCTTTAAAGACGAACTAGCATTACAATACATGAAGCTGCAGAGGAGGCTGCCATCTTGTGGTCACTTTTGCCAACCACATGGATTGGAGCGCTGTTTCTAGCTACTTGGAAGGGTGACCCCACGCAATCACCCTAACGGAAATATTCTTCACTGTTCCACCATCGACCATGCATAATGCTTGCTGACTTTTGGGAAGAATGAAGCGGAGGCTATGGAATATGGCAACCTTCACTTCAGAAGAAATGTACTTAAAGGGCACTAGCAGTAGCTACAGAGGTCATTAACTCCATTATTCAATATGCGGGAATGGTTTTGTTTGAAGATACCAGGCACTTTACATCAAGCCATATTGCATTGTTATGAATGCTAGACCTTTTCTGGTCATAATTCCAGGCCACAGTCTCCAAAGGTTAACAGTAGCATGGGTATTTATTCTTGCAGTGAGGTAAATAATGCTGAATGTGAACTTTAGATACTTTCACCTCTTAAGGACCAAACTTCTAGAATAAAAAAGGGAATCATGACATGTTAAATCAGTTTTCCTGGCACTGCAGGTCCCTTCTCCCTCCCAATCCCTGGTTGCTGAAGGGGGGAAAACCCCTTCAGTCACTTACCTGAGACCCCCGCCGATGTCCCTCAGCGGTGGTTTCAGGTCGCCGCCGCTCCTCCTCCTCATTACGTCAGCCGGTTGGCAAGACTGAGCTCTAGAGCTCTCCATAGGAAAGCATTGAAAATGCTTTCCTATGGGGAATTGAGCGACGCTGGAGGTCCTCACATAGCGTGAGGACGTCCAGCAATGCTCTAGCACAGGTTTTCTGTGTTATAATCCAGGAAGTGCCCTCTAGAGGAAGAGTTAAACCCTGCAAGGTAATTATTGCAGTTTATAAAAAAAACTGCAATAATTACAGTTGCAGGGTTAAGGGTAGTGGGAGTTGGCACCCAGACCACTCCAATGGGCAGAAGTGGTCTTGGTGCCTGGAGTGTCCCTTTAAGTATTTGATATACAAAACATAAATCTGACTATTTATTCCTTCATCAGGTCATGGGTTCATTCCTCAGATTACCCTGGGACACTACACAGCAAAGGAAGACGCTTCTAAAACACTCACCTGTTGACGTTTGTTTCTGTTCTGAGTTGGTACACTGTCCACATCCATATCTTCATCACTTGACTTAATATTTCCATTCAACTCGTCCTTAGTGGTCTTCTTTGTGAATAGTTTGTCTGCACCAAGAGGAGAGAACATGAAGCAAACCATGTTGAATATAACCAAATATTTTACCCTAACGGAAAACTCTAAACTATTAAACAAAATGTTTTTAAGAATTCTGATCTATTATATATATATATATATGTAAAATAATGCCGACACTTACTATCCGGTCTAGTTACAGTAAACTCAGGTTTAAGAGTTACTGTGGAGCATCTTATTCAATCTTTTGGGAAAACAAGTGTTTGACAGAACAATTTATCATACGAACAAAATTGCAAAACATAATTTAATACGGTCAGCTAGAGCAATAACAAACAAGGATTTTAAGCATTACATTGTATTTTCCAGAGTTGAATTATCACTTGCTAACGGTAATGGTGAGTAGAAATTTTAAGCCGTGATACATACTATATTGAGAGATGGCACAGTATGGATTTCTTGGTGTTAAACACCGGCCGATGTTCCAGAATAGGATCCGACAACCAAACTACACCTTATTATGAAGTGATTTATGATATTTCGAAAGTTATTGGATAATCAACCACACCTCTGGTTAGGATGGTGATCTGCTCACCTTTTCCCAGCACAGGGTTCCTTGGCTTCATCTGGCCCCGCCCCCAATCCACCTCATTGGCTGACATCAGAATTGACAATCCCATAGGAAAGCATTGGATTGGCAGAGATTGTCAATTCTGATACTCTTAGCCAAGGAGGCAGAGCCAATTGCCGCCCTTGTACTGAATCAATGCATCTCTAGGAGGAAAATTCAGCGTCTCCATGCCATGCCAGACGCTGCACAATGTGTAGCACTGACCCAGGAAGCAACTCTAGTGGCCACTAGGGATGTTCTTAGGCTGTATTGTAAACACTACCTTTTCTCTGAAAAGGCAGTGTTTACGTTAAAAAGTGTGCAGGGACAGGCTATACTCACCAGAACAACTAAAATAGGCTGTAGTAGTTCTAGTGACTATAGTGCCCCTTTAAATAACGAACGTACGTAGTTTATTCTTGCACCTGGATACAAGTCGCTCATGCTGTCCCCTGAATCGCTGTCCTCAGAGTTGCTAATCGTTGGCTCCCACGTATCTTTTTTACCCGACGATCCATCACCACCAAAATGCTTCTGTCTTTTCTTTTGTAGAAGGCAAGCCGGTACATATTCCTTTCCTTCCTTCTGACATTCCTTATCTATTAAGAGAAGAGGCAACATTTGGTGCTTTTCAGACATTGTCAAAGGAACTCGGCAAATAACATGTATAAACTAAATTCAGGTCAATGTAAGACTCGAGTGCAAGGGTTTTTATAAAATTTAAAGCAAGCTATGTTTTTACTATTTAACTCCATGGCTATTATTCTAACTTGGATAAGGAAGTCTCAAGTGGCCAAGTATGGATACCAAGTATACATAAACAAATAAAAAAAAATAAAAATAAAAAAAGTTAGTTATTTAGGTGTCAATCAACTTAAAGGGACACTATAGTCACCAGAACAACTCCAGCTTATTGAATTTGTTCTGGTGAGTAGAATCGTTACCTTCAGGCTTTTTGCTGTAAACACTGTCTTTTCAGAGAAAATGCAGTGTTTACATTACAGCCTAGTGATAACTTCACTGGCCACTCCTCAGATATCTGTTAGAGATCGTTCCTGGGTCATGGCTGCCTAAAATGCATCCAAACATTTAGTGTCTCCTCCCTCTGCATGCAGACACTGAACTTTACTCATAGAGATTCATTGATTCAATTCAATTGGCCAGGGCTGTGTTTGAATCATGCTGGCTCTGCCCCTGATCTGCCTCCTTGTCAGTCTCAGCCAATCCTATGGGGAAGCACTGTGATTGGATCAGGCTACCACTTCTGATTATGTCAGGAGACAGCTTGTTTTTCTGAGGCAAACAGCAGGCAGAGTTACAGCTTCAGGCTTGAATACAGTAAGATTTTGCTATTTTTAGGGAGGCATGAGGAGCCTAGGGGGGTTAGATGGTGGTTTTAACACTATAGGGTCAGGAACACAAACATGTATTTGTGATCCTTTAAGAAAACCTAACTTCAGTTGGTTGTTACATGGAATTAGAATCTAAAAATATGTTCAGATAAATAATGAAAAGAAGAATTAGGAACCTCAATTTTTTGGGGGGGACAAGTTTTTTTTCTGTTTTCAAAATATTGATCTTACATTTTACCAGAGCTTTCTGATAGCGCTTGCCCTCGATATGCCTCTGAACCTCTTCTGGGATTTTGTTCATGTGACGAAGTGTTAGTTTGCAAAACAGCTGCTTTCTAAAATGAAATAAATTTGTCAAGATTTGTCATAATGAAATTTTTTTTTGCAAAAACTCCCAATTTACTAAAGCCAGAAATTGCAGCGTAATGACCAGCAAATTGTAATAATATGGCCAGAAAAAAAAAATCTGCTATAAATTTGTCCCTGTGTTGCGCCTCCAATTCAGCTATAAGTTGTTGCATGCACAGCTATGAGTAAAGAGGACTTGAATTTTGCAAAGTGTGTTGTTTATACACTCCAGGCACCAAAACAACTTTATCTTAATTAAGTGGTTTTGGTGTATAGATCATGCACCTGCAGTCTCATTGCTCAATTATCCATCATCTATCAGTTAAATTACGGTTTATGTAGTCCTATCCACACCCCCAGTGGCGTGGGGGCCCAGGTGCGAAACTGATCCATGGGGCCCCCCCCTCCCTCTTCCCCCGACAGACATACAGACATACATACACACACACACACATAAAAACGGACAGGCACACACACGTCATACATACAAAGACACATACGGACAGGCACAGGGCCGGACTGGCCCAACGGGATACCGGGAAATTTCCCGGTGGGCCGTCGGCACCTGGGGCCGGGCAGACACCTGGGTCTGCTGGCGGCCACTGGGGAGGTCTGCTGGCGGCCGCTGGGGGACTTGTCCTGGCGGCCGCTGGGGGAGCTGCGCTGGCTCTGCTCCCCAGCGGGCAGCTGAATGAGACCGCCGGTCTCATTCAGCAGCGCGCGAGGGCGGGAGAGCAGAGCCAGCGCAGCACCCCTCTACGGCCGCCAGGACAAGTACCCCAGGACAAGTCCCCCAGTGGCCGCCAGAAGACCTCCCCAGCTGTAAAAGTCCCCCAGCGGCCCACAGAAGACCTCCCCCTGGCAGGTATTAGTAATCTGTCTGTCTGATCATGTCTGTCTGTATGGTGTGTGTGTGTGTCTGTCTGTCTGTGTTATCATGTCTGTCTGTCTGTATGGTGTGTGTGTGTGTGTGTGTGTGTGTGTCTGTCTGTGTCATGGTGTCTGTCTGTATGGTGTGTCTGTCTGTGTCATGGTGTCTGTCTGTCTGTGTCATGGTGTCTGTCTGTCTGTGTCATGGTGTCTGTCTGTCTGTATGGTGTGTGTCTGCCTGTGTCATGGTGTCTGTCTGTCTGTATGGTGTGTGTGTGTGTGTGTGTGTCTGTGTCATGGTGTCTGTCTGTATGGTGTGTGTGTGTCTGTCCATCATGGGGTGTGTGTGTGGTGTGTGTCTGTCCGTCACGGGGTGTGTGTGTGGTGTGTGTCTGTCCGTCACGGGGTGTGTGTGTGGTGTGTGTCTGTCCGTCACGGGGTGTGTGTGTCTGTCCGTCACGGGGTGTGTGTGTGCGTGTCTGTCCGTCCGTCACAGGGGGTGTGTGTGTGTGCATGTCTGTCCGTCACGGGGTGTGTGTGTGGTGTGTGTCTGTCCGTCACGGGGTGTGTGTGTGGTGTGTGTCTGTCCGTCACGGGGTGTGTGTGTGGTGTGTGTCTGTCCGTCACGGGGTGTGTGTGTCTGTCCGTCACGGGGTGTGTGTGTGCGTGTCTGTCCGTCCGTCACAGGGGGTGTGTGTGTGTGCATGTCTGTCTGTCATTCATGGGGGGTGTGTCTGTCTGTCCGTCATGGTGTGTGTCTGTCTGTCCGTCATGGTGTGTGTCTGTCTGTGTCATGGTCTGTCATGGGGTGTGTATCTGTCATGGGATATGTGTGTTTCTGTCATGGTATATGTGTGTTTCTGTGTCTGTCATGGTGTAAATGAGTGTTTAAAAATAGTGTTTTTGCTCACCTTTTTTTTTTCCCCACGCAGCGTGCTGGTCTCCCCTCGACTGGCCCTGCCTCTATAGCTGAGATCATTAAGCTTGATGATCTCAGCCAATCCAATGCTTTGCCATAGGATTGGCTGCAAAACGCCACTCCAATCAGCATCTCCTCATAGAGATGCATTGAATCAATGTATCTCTATGGGGAACGTTCAGCACCTACAGAGTGTGGAGGCCCTGAATGTAGGTGCACTAACACAGGAAGCACCTCTAGTGACCGTCTGAGTGACTGTCACTAGCAATGTCACTTTGAAGCAATGTAAACACTGCCTTTTCTCTGAAAAGTCAGTGTTTACGTTGAAAAGCCTGTAGGGACATGCTATAGACACCAGTACCACCACATTAAGCTGTGTGTGTGCGTCTGCTAGTGACTAAGCTTGCTTGCATGCGTGTGCCTGCTAGTGAGTGAGCTTGTGTTTTTATGTCAATGAGATGATGTATATCAGTAAGATTGTTTGTCTATGAGGCTGTGTATCAATGAGCTTGTGTGTGTCATTGAAATGTCAGTGAAATTGCCTGTGTCTGCATGTGAGTATGCTTACTGTATAATTAAACGTTTTACCCTGAAAGGACCAATATTTTATATTAGAAAAAGCAATATATATATATATATATATATATATATATATATATATATATATATATATATATATAAATAAATAACTCAATCATCTGTCCTGGCAAGACATATCCTTACATATTACACGCGACAATATATGGCGCAGTGACTTATGGGGCTAGCACAAATTTTTTTTCCAGGGCTGCTTTGTATCCCCAGTCCGGCCCTGGACAGTCACACACATACAGACACATAAAAAGACAGACAGACACACACGCATACAGATACATACAGACACATACACATAAGACATACATACAAACAAACACACACACACATAATATTTAAGTCACCCTCCTGTTTCCTACCTTTTAGGTGCAGGAGGGTGACCTTCCCTGGGGTCCAATGGTGGCTCAGGCTGGTGGGAGTCAGAGTTCCCACTCTGACTCCCTGTTCTTCCTCCCATGCGGTGTGTGTGTTAGCTGGGAGGAGTGACGTGCAGTCACTTCCTCCCAGCACTGATGATCTCATCACAGGGGGCCCGGTCGCGCTGTTAAAGTGCCCAGCGCTGACCAGGCCCCCTGACAATCCACCACCTGATGGGCACATTAACATGCGGCCCCGGCAGTTTCCATCTCCCTTGCCGGCTCTGCAGGACCGGAGAGGAGATCAGAGCTCTCCCTCATCGGCCTGCTGGCACTGTAAAGCTGACAGCCGGCAGGGGAGGGTGGGAGAGAGGACGGGAGGTAGCTCTAACCTGCAGCTCCGCCGGGTTCTCCTCTCGTGAGTCCGGAGGGTTGCCGTGGTTACACACACACACTACTGCCCCTATCCCCTACTACAGCCTCTATCCCCTACTACAGCCTCTATCCCAGAAGATCCCAGGTCAGTTGTCAAACAGTTCTTAAACAGTTTGATGACTACTTACCCTGGGAGGGCCCTACTGGTACCATAACCACTATAAAGTGCTGTAGTGGTTATTGTGACTGGATTGTTTCTTAAAATAATCTACCAGTGCCCCTCCCAAGATTAGATTCTCGATCTGCAACTGAACGGCAAGCATTTCTGCCGAACAGGGGCCCATTATAACCTAGAAAATTGTTTTGACTTGGGGCGCCTTGGAAAAATATTAAAATATTAAGGGCGTCTTGAACCTAAAAGGTTTGGGAGCCACTGGTGTAGACAATAAATAGGGTAGCAAGCAATTTTTGCATTGCAAAGGCACATATAATGGATAACAAAGCACATGTTACCTCATATTTCTGCTCCAATTCAAAGGTTTAAAAAGATTGTAGGGATATCAAGTGTTCACATTAACCCCTTAGCGACCAGACTGTTTTTCAATTTTCTTACCGTTCAGGACCAGGGTTGTTTTTACATTTCTGCTGTGTTTGTGTTTAGCTGTAATTTTCCTCTTACTCATTTACTATATCCATACATATTATATACTGTTTTCATTGCCATTGAATGGTCTTTCTAAAGATACCATTATTTTCAGCATATCATATAATTTACTATAAAAAACAAAAAAAACCTATAAAATATGATGAAATTTGTTTAAAAAAACAAAAAAAAAATACAAAAACACACACCCCTTTTCTAACTTTGACCTCCAAAATCTGTTACACATCTACAACAGCCAAAAACAACCGTGCTAAATAGTTTCTAAATTGTGTCCTGAGTTTAGAAATACCCAATGTTAACATGTTCTTAGTTTGTTTGGTTTTTTGCGCAAGTTATAGGGCCAGAAGTAAAAGTAGGACATTACCGTTTCAAAATATATATTTTTAAAATGTATCAATAGTGCGTTGTAACACTTATCTGTCATAAATCTCTGAATCACACCTTACATGTACATTTTTTTTTAAATTTTTTTTTAAATAGACAACCCAGGTATTCAATATGGGGTATGTCCAGTCTTTTTTAGTAGCCACTTAGTCACATACACTGGCCAAAGTTAGCGTTCACAGTTGTTTGTGTGTGAAAAATGCAAAAAAATAATTTGAACGCTAATTGTGGCCAATGTTTGAGACTTAGTGGCTACTAAAAAATACTGGACATACCCCATTTGCAATACCTTGGGTTGTCTACTTTTGCAACTGGTATGCCATCATGGGGGTAATTCTCATTCCTGGGCTACCATACTGTCTTAAAGGCAACATAACCAATCTGTCAAATTTCAATGTGAAAAAAAAGGAAATGCAAGTCTTATATTTGACTCTGTAACTTTTGAAAACACCATAAAACCTGTACATGGGGGGATTCTGTTTTACTTGTGAGACTCTGTGAAACTCAAGTATTAGTGTTTTAAAACAGTAAAACGTATCACAACAATTACCGTATATATTCGAGTATAAGTCGACCCCCTTAATTTTACCCCAAAAAACTGGGAAAACTTATTGACTCGAGTATAAGACTAGGGTGGGAAATGCAGCAGCTACTGGTAAATTTCTAAATAAAATTAGATCCCCAAAAATTACATTAATTGAATATTTATTTTGTGTATATAATGAATGCAGTGTGTGTGTGTATGTAATGCAGAGTGTGTGTGTGTATGAATGCAGTGTGTGTAGTGTGTGTGTGTGCGTGTGTGTGTGTGTGTGTGTGTGTATATAATGCAGAGGTGTGTATGAATGCAGTGTGTGTGTAACCTTGGTGGGGGGTGGGCGCTTTTTTTAATTATTATTATTTTAATATTAAATTTTGTTTTTATTATTATTTACATTTTTATTTATATTTTTTTATCCCCCCTCCCTGCTTGATACATGGCCAGGGAGGGGGGGGGGCTCTCATTCCCTGGTGGTCCAGTGGATGGGCTGTGTAGGAGGGGGGCTGGCAGCGAGCTGTTACTTACCTTTCCTGCAGCTCCTGTCAGCTCCCTTCACCTCCGTTCCGGTCAGATCCCTTCTCTTCCACTGTAAGTCTTGCGGTCTGAGTGTCGCGCGAAGCGTTGCCACGGGGTCTGACCCCGCGGCTCTTGCGAAACTTACAGTGGGAGCTGACAGGAGCTGCAGGAAAGGTAAGTTACAGCTCGCTGCCAGCCCCCAATAGGACCGCTGGGCTTGTAATGAGCCCGGCAGTCCTTGTCTGTATTATGGCAATGTAAGTTGCCATAATACAGACACTGACTCGAGTATAAGACGAGTGGGGGGTTTTCAGCACAAAAAATGTGCCGAAAAACTTGTCTTATACTCTAGAATATAGTCAGTCAAAATGCAAAGATCTGCACTTTCACTGACTATATCATCGCTGTTATATGTTTTACTTTTTTGAAACACTAATATTTGTGTTCAGCGAAGTCTCCCGAGTAAAACAGTACCCCCCATGTACAGGTTTTATGGTGTCCTGGAAAGTTACAGGTTTAAATATAGGGCTTGCGAACCAATTTCTCTGGACTTTATGTCTGGGTTGTCAGGCAGGTTCCTCAAATTGTAATTAATCAAATTACCTAATTATGTAAAAATATTATATAAATATATTTGTAGAATTTTAAAACAGTTTATTTGTATAATATATCTATATATAAATAAAATAAATGTAAAAAATATATATATTTAAACACATATTTATAACGTCACTCTAAATGTATTTTGATTTAAATATAAATGTATATTAATATCAAAATGCAGTTTGAACAAATTTATATAGTTAAAGTCATATATATATATATATATATATATATATATATATATATATATATATATATATATATATGTCATTTTAATATTAATATACACTTAGAATAATGGATTGTGTATGTGCATATAAAAGTACTTATATATGATCTAAGTACTATTATTTACTTTATTAAAACTTTTTAACCACTTTTATTAACTTTAATACTTTTTTGCAGGCATGAGGGGGACAGCGAGGACTCTGCGATCACATGGCCCGGATCAGCCGCAGGGGGACTGCCTGGGATACCAGGCAAGTATCCACATCGTGATCGACGGCAGGGGATCGCCAGCAATCACGTAAGTGCATATTTGCGATTGGACGTACCAGGTACATCCACAGTCGTTAACCTTTTTTTTCGGATGTGGTCGGGAAGGGGTTAAAGGGGCATTGTAACGTATTAATCTTACTGAAGTGATTATAGTGTCTCGAGTCCCTTCCATTCAGTGCAAAGTGTTTTTTTTAATGTTGTAATTCTTAACGAGAGTCCCTGTGTGCTGCATGGTCTAAAAATGAAGCATTAAAGGACCACTATAGTGCCAGGAAAACATACTCGTTTTCCTGGCACTATAGTGCCCTGAGGGTGCCCCCACCCTCAGGGTCCCCCTCCCGCCCGGCTCTGGAAAGGGGTTAAAACCTCCTTATCCTCCTCCTGGGCTGAATGCGGCAAGAGCTGCGCGCGCATTCAGCCCGTCGCATAGAAAGCATTTATAATGCTTTCCTATGGACGCTGGCGTGCTCTCACTGTGAAAATCACAGTGAGAAGCACGCAAGCGCCTCTAGTGGCTGTCAATGAGACAGCCACTAGAGGATTAGGGGAAGGCTTAACCCATTCATAAACATAGCAGTTTCTCTGAAACTGCTATGTTTATAAAAAAATGGGTTAACCCTAGAAGGACCTGGCACCCAGACCACTTCATTAAGCTGAAGTGGTCTGGGTGCCTAGAGTGGTCCTTTAACCTGCGCATCAATGGGCAACTGTGTCTGGATCAGACAGACAGTCGCCTTCAGCCTATCACATTGTCCACTGATGGTATGAATTGGTACAGATCCAAGGAAGTTTGAATCTCTGCCTTAGCAATACCTCCAGTTAGGGCTGGGCTGTTGTGGCTAGTGACCCTCATTCAGTGTTGATTTGTTTGCGAATTGTTTAACACTGAACAGAGGGACAGTGCCAGGGGACTCCAGGCACTATAAAGAAATTAAATAAGATAAGAATAAAAAACAAAATTAAAAAAATACATATCCCAGACATTCTACATTAGTGGTTCCCAAACCAGTCCTCGTGCCCCCCTACCCAGTCGTGCCCAAGGTGTTTTTTTCTTCTTTTAAAAACACCTTAGACACAAATGGGTAATCCCTAAATCCTGGACAGGTAAGGGGAGTGGGGACTGGTTTGGGAACCACTGATCTAGGTCTTTGTGGGAACTGAACTTGTTCGGGATTGCTTTTACATATTAAATACAAATAAAAGGGCACTTTATATCGGGTTTGTGCAATTAACTGTTTGAAGAGCCAATTAATGAGCAAAAGCTCTAGTGGACCATAAATATGTAGCCTCCTTTCACCTGTAGAATCTCGCTGAGAAATAAAGGTCATATTTGCTGCTGAAATGATTGTTTATACTAGGTACAAAAAAAAAAAAAATATTTATATACAATTTTACAAACTACAAGCTAACCTCCCATTCCCTATTTCCTAAAAGAAATACAATTTAAAAATTGTTGTCATATTGGGGATTCTTATTTTGTGCAATCACAAGTAAATATGATAATTAGGGCTCTGTTGAAATCGGAAACATATCAGAATTTTTGCATGAAAGCATTATAGATCATGAAGTTCTATGTTGCCTCACAGATACCTACGGATTTTTAGTGCTGACGACTATATGTGGTTGGAAGACACTGTAATCATAGGAGCCAGAAGAGTTCAGCTTCTTGTATTTTTTCCCTTCTGTGAAGACTTTGAGTTCAGCAAGTCTGCATGGCAATTCATGGCCAGTTAACTTACATTTCACCTACAGGAAAAACAAGGAAGAGTAAAGGAATGCAACTATTATTATTAGACATACAATTATTATTTTAGGGACACTATAGTGGCCTAAAATACTGAATTTTATGTGTGACAGTATGCAATCATTATGTTTTTTATTTTTAAAATGCACCAGATAAGAGACATGTAGAGGCTGAGCGTGTGCAGCACTTGCTGGCCGCAACTGGGCTTCATTCATGGTAAACAGAAATGAGGTTACTTGCATTAGTTAACCGATACTACCAGGGGATTTTTATAAACGTTCTTGAATAGCTTCATGTGTGTTTTTTTCCCACAGGTGCATTGTGCTTGGAGTCTTCCAAAAGGTAGATCCCCAGATGTTGTAGAACTGCAGCTTCTACGATGCATTGTCATGCTGAAGGCATGCAAAGCATCATGGAAGTTGTATTTCTACAACATCTGGGGATCTACCTTTTGGGCACCCCTGTTTTAAAGTAAAGACTGTGAAGCTCGAGACTTGCAAACTGCAGCAGCAGACAGCCTCCTTTCAGACAAGTAAGAGTGATCAGCAATCAACAGTCTCTCACTCTGGTCTATGAGTTTTGATGTTATCCCATAAACCCCCGTCCATGTGGAATTTATGGGATATGTAGTTCAGCGGCTGGCAGTGGTTCCCTTCATTAAATGGATGAGTTAAACTGCTGAATATGCTGACAAAAGACATTCCCCTCCACAGCCTGCATTTATTGACAGTACCAGTTACAGTTTGTAGGGGAGTTGCACTGAATTCTCCACAGGTGCTGGTCATACATTCATGCAATCCAACTTCTGTAGACGTAGTGCCAAACACGAGCATACCGTATACAAATGTTAAATAGATTTAGAAGGAAAGGGAGGAATTAATATACACAACAGTATATAGCTTCTCATGGTAAAGACATTTGTATAACAAAATTATGGGGGTTTATAGCATGTGCCCAGCTCTGTAAAGGAACTTTATATGGTCAGGAAGACAAACATTTATTCCTGACCCTATAGTGTTAAAAACACTATCTAGCCACCCTGCCCCCCAAATAAAGTATACTCTTACTTTTATTTCAGTCTGCTGCTGCTGGCTCTTCCCCTGATCTGCCTGCTTGGCTGACATCGTCCGAAGTGTTATTCAAAGCCAATCACAATACTTTCCCATTGGAAAGCATTGGATTGGCTGAGCTTGTCAAGAAGGCAGATCAGGGGCAGAGCCAGCACAAGCCAAACACAGCCCTGGCCCATCCGCATATCCTCACAGAAATTAATTAAATCAATGCATCTCTATGAGGAAAGTTCATGCAGAGGGTGGAGACACTGAATGTCAGTCACATTGTGCAAAACTGCCCCATGAAGCACCTTTAGCAGCCATCTGAGGAGTGGCCAGTGAAGTTATCACTAGGCTGTAATGTAAACACTGCATTTTCTCTGCAGCAAAAAGCCTGACGGGAAGGATTCTACTCACCAGAACAAATTCAATAAGCTGTAGTTGTTCTGGTGACTATAGTGTCCCTTTAACCCCTTAAGGACACATGACATGTGTGAAATGTCATGATTCCCTTTAATTCCAGAAGTTTGGTCCTTAAGGGGGTTAAGCCAATTGTACACATTGTTACTATTGCGTTCTTGGTTTTCAACCTATCCACTTTTGCCCTTTTCTGGCGATTATATATTTAAATTGGTACTGAGTAAAGCTTTGTGCTAAAGATTATAAGTGGTTTGCCTCCTTTTGTTATTGGTACATACCTTGTTTTGAAGCTGGGGGGAGGGGTTGTTTCTAGGACATCACTCTAATTATTATTGTGTTGATTTGACCCTTCCTATGCAGATTAGTTTGTAAAGCAAGTAGAAGCTTTCCATAGAGAGAGAAGGCAATGTTGCAGCTGCTAAATGTCTTGCACTTATAAAGCAACTCTGTCTAGCTTCAGATAAAAATCAATTAAATGATCACTTGTTGCTCTGGTGTTTTGAGTGTCTCCCTTTAAAGAGAGACTAAAGTTATTAACAACCATGTTATCTATTATGTTTAAAAGCAGACCCTCTGACCTTGCCGCCCTGTATGAGCTCCAGGCTGGGGTGCTGCACCAGGAGAGCCCTCACTTCCTCAGGCACAGAATCCATCGCTGTCAGAGAGCAGCAGGCAGGTGTTCTCAGGCACCCACGTGGAGCTGCTGGGACTCCTCTACCCGGAAGTACTCAGCACCATAGAGAGGATAAGGGAGGATAGAGAGGCCAGGCTGATACATTGTAACAGAGGGGAACTGGGGGGAGGAGGCTTCACATTCCATGTAGGTAAAAGGTAATAAATGTCTGTAAAGTAACTTTAACCCCTTAAGGACACATTACATGTCATGATGCCCTTTTATTCCAGAAGTTTGGTCCTTAAGGGGTTAAACCCTTTCTGTGCCAGCATTTATTTTAATATTGTTTAACTGCATATTCCTTTTGGCAACTAATGGGTTAACTAGTGTCTGCCTCACTTCTGCATATAACTTGTGTCTATATGATTTTATTTTTTTTTAAACATATTTTTTTATATATAATTTATGATATTTTTATTATTATATATTTGCTATATATAATTTGTTTTATTATATATTTGTTATTTTTTTATTTTTTTTATTATTATTATTATTTTGTTTTACTGGCTGTTGGTTTACAGAAATTCTATGTTTCCATAGTTTCCAGGAAGCTTTGCCCATGTGACCTGGAAGTGATTGGCTCCTGCCAGGGGATAGGAAGTGTGTGCCACTTGTGTGATCCTGTAATAACAATGGCTGTACTGAGGCTCCTGCTGGGGTCAGCAGGGATCAGGAAGCTGCTGGTGGCCCCCAGTACCAGGAATCAGGTAAAAACTGCCCCCAAACCCCATGTTATCCTAAATGATCAGCCCAAAACCTGCAGAGGTGACCTCTGTGCTGTCAGGACTTCCTTTACTGCAATAGCGCTCAATGTTTCATATTTATTGGGATTATTTGTTTATTTTATTTGTGCTAGTAGTTGGCCATTTATTCCTCACCACAATGTGTGTTATCTGCTAATATCTGTATTTTAATATTGTTTAATTTAAGTATCTACGTGAAGCATTGCACTGTGTACTTTCTATAAGTAAATTGCAGTGTTCATTTGTTTTTTTTTACATTTTCATGTGTTAATCTAGAAATCTCAAGAACCATTGATATCCATGTGTTTTTGTTTTTTAAATTGATCTGCATGCCATAAAATTACACTTATATCAAGCTGCAGTTTTACAAAAGACAGAAAGTGGACCTTTCACATCATTATCAAACTTTTGGACATGCAGGGCACCTAATTTTACATTGTAGTTATTTACAAAGCAAGGTCTAAAACAGTGATTCATCTGCAACTTTCTAAATAAAATATAAGCCTAGGCGACTCCACCAAGGAGTAGACCAGGAAGTGTTTGCAGACAGTTTGACTACTTACCCTGGGAGAACTCCAGGGCACTCCTGGTACCATAACTACTACAGCGCACTGTAGTGGATATGGTGTTTGGAGTGTTATATTACGCTTTCATTCCCAAATCTGCTTTTTATTACAGGCTCTAAACAACTATAGCAGAATATCCAAAGTCACATCTATCTGCCTCCGGACAGAGCCATTCCAGCTGCGTCTGCAGAAAGGTGAGTCTGAAAATAGCGTGAGTTGGTTGTAATCAGGCCTGCTTAGGATGGGGGTATTGCCATAGAAGAGAAAACTAGAGACTGTCACATATGAACCAAGGCAAGAATGCACTGTATGGAAGAATGATGCACAAAGGTTGCAAGGTTTATTTGTACAAAACTGACCAAGAAAACACTGCTGAGTATTTTAGTTTTGCCGATTGACGTTTTGAAATTTCTGTTCTTTGTGTTTCATGCAGATCTTAGTTTTAGGTCATTGAGACCCTTTGGTTCTGCAGCCAAAGTTGCTGAGTCCAGTGAAGATAATGCTCTTAAATGGCTTCTTCTTCTGATCCCAGTCGCTACGTTTGGACTTGGCACCTGGCAGGTAAACGTAAATCCACTGCAACATATTTACGCAGGCAGGTAGTTAGCAGGTTGTATGAGACACTGCATATATTAAATTGGGCTACTGCCCATTTAAATGAACACACCATTACTACTGCATCCCACTGTAGTGGTTATGGTTCCATGAGTGCCCTGGTGATTTCTCAGTGTAAGTAAAACTTTTAAAGAACAGTTTGACAACCTACCTGAGGTCCACCTGGCGCCCACCGCCACTGACTCCATTTTACAAGTAGGCTGCCAGACAATTCTCACCTTCGTGAAAAACATTGTCTGTGTTCCAGTTTGATCATAGTACTAGTGAAGCCTGTAAATTACATACATGTTGGTTGTCTGTGGTCTGTTCAGTGAGGTATACTATTTCCAAATGTCAGGATATTCCTAAGAAGAGGGCGCTAAGTGGTGATTGCTGTTTTTAGGGATAAGAGGTCTGTGAAGTAAAAGAAAAAGGAATTCACCAGTGTGACTTACCAGGTGTATTGGTCCAGGGCTTAACCCTAAAGTCTACTATAAAATTAATTTGCTGTTCCCAAGAGAAACAGATGGGAAATGCTACCTGATATAGGAAGTAGAACAGAAAGTAACCTTGAAAAGCTTAACTAGAACTAATAAAATACATGGTTCGTGAAAAATAGTAATTTAAAAAAAAAGGCATTCCTGATCTGTTTAGTGATCCCAGATAAAAGTGAAATAGGAGGAGTATAAAAAGGGCTTTATTAAAGTGTTATTTAAAAAGCATGGCTTTCATTCCATGCACCAATTTACTACCAGATAAGACGGGTCTGTAGAATTGCTGTAAGGTCCTTTCAGCATCAGACCATGGCAATCTGAAATGATACCATCGTGAACACAGGTGGGGAAAGAATTCTCTCTAGGTAGCATTCAAGTTACTTGGATATGTTAATAAAATCTTCATATCTTTTGGTTTTCAGGTTCAGAGACGCAATTGGAAACTGAAACTCATTGAGGAAATGGAGTCTCGAGTGAATGCCAAACCTGTTCCACTCCCTATCGAGTAAGAGTGGGTAATTAACCATTCGTAACACGACCCACATTGCATACATTACCATACTTCAAACAGTTAGCGCAGTGACCCATTTTCTTTTTTTCCAATTTATGCTTTATTGAATTTTTTTCTCAGAAAACATAAACATAAAACAGGGATACAGAAAGAAAGGGGGGAGGGGGGGAATGCCTCTGGGTTCATGAAACCTTGTACGATTCATATATTACTTAACATGTAATCTTAAACAGTTATCTTAAACAGCTTGTTCGATCACTGGTATCTCAACCTCTTATGTTCCCATCAACATGCTACATAGAAGCGGAGTTGAAACACTGTCAGCCATTCAAGGCCTTTTTAACGGTTTTGGTACCACTCCTGTAACGTCGTCTTGCTACCCTTTTGTATGTCCTTACTCGTAAGTGTGTATATATATATATATATATATATTGTTAATTAATTAAGATGCGGGCTCTATTTGTTCTTTCTCTATCATAAACAGTTCCCAGTTTTGTTTGGCCTCTAGGATGTGGCCTGGGGATGTACAGCTTGTCGTAAGTTCAAGGAGACCTGAGATAGGAGCTCGTTTTGCTTAGGGCAGGTGGAATGTTTCCATGCCCGTGCTATCAGTGTGTTTGCAGCTATCAGTATGTGAAACAAGAGTGTCTTTTGTGCCTTGTTGAGAGTGACTGGCATCATGAAAAGCAACCCAGTCTCCGGCTGCAGTGCAATTTGTGTGTGTATTGATAAGTCTCTCCACCAGCTCCCAGTATCTTTTTATCTTTGGGCATGTCCACCATATGTGGTACATACTGCCTTCATCTTCCCCGCACTCCAACATAATTTCGATGTGTTTGGATAGATTTTCTCTAACCTGGTCGGTACCATATACCATCTGTATTGGATTTTCCTCATTAACTCTACGTGTGAAGAACATCTTGACCTTCCTTTGTGTGCCATAAGTGCCTTCTGCCATTGAGTGTCTGTGAACCGTTTGTGTATGTCCTTTTGCCAATGTTCTTTAATTTTGTCTAGTGTAGCGTTGGGTGGGCTATCATTTAGAGTTGCGTATAGTGTGGATAGCAGTTTTTTTGGCATGGCGCCTGTTTCGCATAGTTTATACAGTAGCTCCAGGGGTTGGGGGGAGGTTTTGTTTTAATTGTTGTTCTCTAACAGAGATTTAATTTGTAGGTAGGAGAACAGTGTGCTATTTGGTAGGTTCTGTCGTAAATCAGAGTATTGTTTTATTTTACCCTCACAGAATAGTTGGTCTACTCTCGAGCATCCACTTTGCGTCCACGGGCGAATGTTTAGTGTGGGGTTCGCTAGTGATAGGCTCTGCATTGGTGTCTGCAGTGCCCATTGGTTAGTGTGTCCAAGTTGTTGTGTTGTGGAGTCCCAGATGTCTAACAAGAGTGCTGTTGTCGGGAGTATTTTTTGAGGTTTTGGTCTTAATTTGTGTGGTACCCAAAACAGGTGCTTTATGCCTCTGTGGCATCCTTCAGCAGATTCTATTTCTTCCCATTGTGGTCTTTCCCCTGTTGTTTGTGTTTTGTGCGTTTGTAAGGCTACCGACATGATGGCGGCTCTGTAGTACATGTGTACATTTGGGAGTCCCAGCCCCCCATGTTGCATTGGTTTGCACAGGAGTTTTGTGGCTACTCTGGTTTTCCTGTTCGCCCATACAAATCGTGTGATTATTTGTTGTAATTTATTAAGGTAGGTGTTTGGGAGGAATATCTGTAGTGTGTGTAATAAGTATTGGTACTTGGGTAGTAGCATCATCTTTATGGCCACTATTCTTCCTATCCAGGACAGGAATTTGTTCTCCCAGCTTTTCAATGTGTCCCCTAGCTCTCATAATAACCTGCCATAGTTTAGTTCCAATAATTGCGCAGGGTGTTTGGGGATCTTCAGTCCCAGGAATGTGAATGTGTTTGCATCAGTGTTTAGTAATGATATGGGTCTGAAGTTTTGTGGAACCGTGGTGGGTTTATTTGGTTTCGGTAATGTGACTATGTGGGCTAGCAGCATTGCTCTCGGGAGCGATTTTGTGGCTACTGCATAGTTGAAAGTCGTGGCTAAACATGGTGCTGGGGTCAAGCCGAATGTTCTGTAATACTGGTTTGTTAGGCCATCCGGTCCAGGTGATTTGCCGGTGGGTAACGTTTTAATGACATCTATAATCTCTTGTGCGTCTATGGGTTTAATCAGGTCTGCTTTTTGTTGTGTCGTGAGTTCTGGTAAAGTGATCTGTGCTAGGTAGGCTTGGATACTCCGTTTCTGTGGGGTGGGCAGTGTTACTATCCTCTTTCAAGTTGTATAAGCTATGGTAATATTTGGCGAATACATCGCTTATGTCTTTGGGTTTAGTGATTTTCCTTCCCTTTCCGTCCATTAGATGAGCTATTTTTTGGTTAACTTGTTTCTTTTTGAGGTGGCTCGCTAGTAGTTTGCTTGCCTTATTGCCCTGCATGTAATGAGCTATTTTTAGTTTTGTCATGTATGCCTGTGTTTGTTCTAGGGCCTGTTGGTGTATCAGTCTGGATATGGTCACTATTCGTTGTTTAAGTTCTGCTGTTGGTTGCATTTGGTTTTGGGAGTTAAGGTCATATAGTTCTTTTTTCCATTCTCTAAGTTTGGTGTGGGTGACTTTTTGATGTATGCTGCCCTTCTGATCAGCAGACCCCTAATCACCGACTTATTGTCGTTGGTGTTACCTCCCCATTGTCGTTTGTCGCAAAATAGGACTCTAGGTCGTTTTGTAGGTCTTTAGTAAAGGTTCTGTCCTGTATTAGTGAGTTATTCAGTTTCCATGGGCTCCGGTGTTTAAAATCGTATGTATTTTTCATATCTAGTATTACTGGTGCGTGGTCCGACCATGTGATTTGTTGTATATCACATGACTGTATTTGGTTCAGGTGTGAGCCTGATATGAGGAATCTATCTATTCTGGAGTAGGAGTTGTGAACCGCGGAGAAGTGTGTGAATGTCTTGGTCTCCGGGTGTGTAATTTTCCATGTGTCGTAGAGATGGTATTCGTGGAGGAGTTTTTGTATGCTTTTGCACTGTCTTGATGGAGGGCGGTGTTGTGGCAGTGTGGTGTCTAGTTTAGGGTCCAGTATGTGATTGAAATCCCCGCATATCACCGTTATGCCTTGTTGTAGTTTGTGAAGTTTGTTTAGTACGCTGTGTAGAAAATTCCTCTGGTTGGTGTTAGGTGCATATATGCTTACTAACGTGTATAACATGTCGTTTATTGTTCCTGTTACCATGACATACCTGCTATTTTTGTCTTCGTCATGGGTGTGTGGTATGAAGTTAACGTGTTTGCTTATGAGTATAGAAGTCCCTTTGGATTTGTGTGGTGAGGTTGAGTGGTATTGGTGTGGAAAATTTGCCACTTGAACCTGCGGGTGGTCATTGTGCCTAAAACGTCTCTTGTAGACACAATATATCTATGTCTAATGACTTGAGATCCCTGCCAAGTAAGTGTTTTTTTGTGGGGTTGTTAAGCCCCCTTACGTACGTAAGTACAGATCTTCACGGTGGTTCTTTATAGTATTTCATTGTATAGTATTCTGTCTGTTCTAGTCTAACGACGGCCATCACTCTCCCCCAGCCTTTCAAGTCGAGTGATGGTGTCTCCTGGGCTTGGAGCTTCGGTCTCCTGTGTGCTTTGTGTGCCAGTATTATGTCTGTGTGCGAGGTCCAGTTATCTAGTGTGAGGAATCTCTGTGTTGGATGTCTCGGTGCGGTCCCTACTGCCTGATGGTCGCTGTTGCCACGTACATAGAAAGCATTATTTAAATGAACCCAATAAGGAAATAACAAATAAAACTTAACAACTATAACATAAGTATATACATTGGTTAACATTGCCATAAGTATGGCTAGGCACTGCGTCTTCGTGCCTTGGGGTAAAAGCTAACCTTCACGTCCTGTACCGTCTCCTTCCCTTAACCTCATTTAAGTTGCTGCGGTCGTATAGTGTCTTATGTATGCCTTAGATTGTTTTATTAGTTAGTATTTACCTGCGTTTGTGTGGTTATTTAGAGTGTCTCTGTGTGTTTAGTTTGCTACGAGGGCCTAGGTTTGTCTTTCGTATCTCGGGTGTTCTTCTGTCGGTCTCTCTGTATCTTGTACTATAGTGAACCAGTCCTACAGTAATGACTCTCAGCAATACCCCTTTTTAATACAGTTTTAGACAGGCCCCTTCTCTTTTAGGTCTGAATATAATTGTCCCTTATTTTAAGAGTGCCTGGTTATTAGTCCTTTGTTTGTCCATGTGTTTTGTTTTTTTTACTTGACCCGATCTTGGCCATCTCTCAGCTTGAACTTTTCCTTCCAGAGAGCGTCTCTATTTTGTGAGTGTCGAGTGTGTGATCATTTCTGGTGTTTCTTTCCTTTGTTCCACTTCGGGGAGAGTCTGGTGACATTCCTGCTTTCGGGTGAACTGTCTGGCAAGGTGATGTCCCAGGTTTTGAGGAGTCTGTATCCTTCCTCCGGTGATTTCACTATTGTCGTTTTCCCTTTCTTGGTTATGAGGAGCTTTGTCGGGTATCCCCAGCAGTATGGGAGATGGTTGTCTCTCAGTGTTTGTGTGATATCTTTAAACTCTCTCCGGCGTTTCAGCGTGTAGGTAGAGATGTCTGCGTAGATCATTATGCCCTTGTATGGCTCTGGCATAGTTTTCTTTGTTCTGTTAGCGTTGAGTGCTGCATCTTTAGCATGAAAATAATGCATGCGGAGCAGCACATCCCGTGGAGTTTCAGGCGGTAGGAAGCTTTGTTTTACCGTGCGTTGTATCCTGTCAATCAGAAGCATCTCCTGGGGCCAGTCAGGTAAGAGGCATTTTAGGAGCCCTGTAACATGGGCCATAAGGTCCGGTGTGCTTACGCTTTCCGTGATACCTCGTATGCGCAGATTATTCCTGCGGGCCCTGTCCTTGATGTCCGCAAGCTTTATGTCCTGCTCTTCAATTCTGGCGATAAGGCCGTCTATAGTATATGCCATGGTATTATGGGCTGTTTCATATTCTGCCATTTTATCTTCCATTTGCGAGGTTCTTGTGCCCAGCTCGTGTAAATCTTTGTGGATGTCTTTCATTGCAATGTCAAGTTTGCGGAGTATTTTATTTGACATTTCCTCCAGTAGTGCTTTCAGTGTGCCCTTTGTTAGGGCGGGTGTTTGGTCCGCCATCTGCTCCACATGTTCCACAGTGTCATCGTCGCCATCTTGGGCCTGCTCTTGTGTCTGTGGAGTCTTTTGCTGTCCTGCTCTGGATGCTTTCTCTGACCTGTCAGTGGTCCTTTTCCCCTTGGGTTGCGACAACTCTGCAGGTTAGTTGTTTTTATTGATTTTTTTTCGGACTTAATTGCTCATCTGAGGTTGATTGGGAACAGAGCCGCTAGTGCATGGACCACTCAGGTCTCCCGTCAGGACACGCCCCCACAGTGACCCATTTTCAATATATAATAATTTGTTAAACTTAATTTATCTTCATTAGACTCTCCCCAGTTTGTGGTACGGAAGTGGGGGAGGGTCGGTGATGGTAACTGTGCGATATTAAACAATTTATTGTGTATAGCTACCTAGGGCCTGTATGGAGTGACATACCTCTTTCAATCAATAGGGACTCACCAAAATTGAGTTATTGTATCTCTATGGGGTTCCATGCAGAGGGTGGAGACCTTAACCTGCTGCAGTTCAGAGTTCTGTGAATAAATAAACCCTTGGATCATGAAAAGTGATGTGTTCTGAAGCTTAAAAACCATATGCACCACTTTCCCTTTCGTTACATATCCATAACTCGATCAGGCAGGGCTGCCCCCTTTCTTCTCTCCTATTTGTTTGGTCTCTGGAAGCACTGTCTGAAGCCATCGGACAAAATGGCAGCATCCTGGACATTAAGAGTTGAGTACAAAATAGTCGTCTACAAGGATTACTTTTTGGCTTTTGTTGGTCAGACAGTTATTTCACTCCCAAGCACTTTATCTGAATTCAGGAATTAGGGGGCATTATCCAAACTTAAACTGAACAAAGATAAATCCGAGTTGCTCATTCACAGAATGCAAAGAAGAGAATTGTGAGAGAAGGGACCTCCCTTATATTTTCAGTAATGCTGTTGCACATTTCCATATTGTAGCTCTTAAAATAAAAAAATGCAACTAAGTTACTAATTCCTGACCCCAGGAAACCGCAGCCACCTACACTTTACCAGTGGATTGTCATGTTAGAAAGATTTAGAGGCAATGGAAGCACTCGATTTTAGTGGTTATTGTGCTAGGAGTCTCCTGAAGCTACTACATTGTAACTAGTTTAACCGTTTTTTCAATTTGTTTGACATCTGGATCTGTTATATGCATATGGTACTCTCAGTCTATTATTCAAAATGAATATTGCTAGTGCAATGGCAACTTTTCCTCCAGCAATATTCAGTAAACCAGACGGGCCACAGGCTGCTGTGAGATTCAGGTGTCAAACCATTTGAACACTGTTTAACTACTTAATGAGTGGCAACGTCAGGAGACTCCTACATTAGGTTTACATATGGTCCTTAAACTGACCCTTTTGCCTTTAGTGGCGGCAGTTTAATAACCGTATTGCAAAATGTAGGGGGGGGGGGGGAAATAATTGCAAAAAGCACAAATCAGAGTTGGATAAAATGTAATTTGTTTTCAATGTAGCTATTTTAACCTAAATTTTGCAGCTTTGTTAAACTTTATAAGTAATTTCAACTACTGTTCGATACACTAAGACTATATCGCATGTACCTGCACAAGTGTAACATCAATTTACTTGACAGTATTGCTCCACATATGCTACTTAAAACACATTCACAAAATAAATATGGGATCCTTCTTCTTGTAAAATTTTATATTGTTTTACTTTTATTTGTATAGTTTAGAACCTTGATACTTTATTTTATACACTGTTCTGTATTATTTATTCCTTGCAGCCCAGCAGAGCTCAGGAAATTAGAGTATTGTCCTGTTAAAGTCCGCGGTCACTTTGATCACTCCAAGGAACTTTTCATACAACCTCGAACATTGCTGGATCCAGAGAAGGAAGCTCGGCAGGCTGGTCAGATCTCCTCAAGCACAGAGAGTGGGGCCCATGTGATAACCCCCTTCTACTGCACAGATCTGGGGTATGTAAATCATTAAACTAAACAGCTTTTTCACTCGACCAGCAGGTCCGGTGAAAAAGAATCAGAGAGGATAGTACCACTGTTAATATCTGTATTTTAATATTGTTTAATTTAAGTATCTATGTGAAGCATTGCACTGTGTACTTTCTAAAAGTAAATTGCAGTGTTCATTTTTGGGCCTTTTAACATTTTCATGTGTTAATCTAGAAATCTAATCTGGGCATGAACCTTGTAGATTATACATTTTCAAAATGGTGGAACACTAGGTTCCAAAAACTTGGTAAATGTTGTATACAGCATAAAATAAAGTATTAAAGAGTGTATGGGGTAGCTAAGGGAGGGCTAAGACTAAAATCAGTAACTGTGTATCTGATCAGGCTTTATTGAGTTGTGCCTCAGATACACTAACTGACATAGACAAAATAAGAAATAGCAGATAAGGGGGAAGGAATCGCAGAGAACAGTGGTAATGGTGGAAACTGGTTCTAACATTGCAGGAAGTAATCATATGGCCATAGGTAACAAGGTACTAGTGCTGTGTGTATCTCCACTTGTACACCCTTATAGCAAGGTAAATAGAAAACTAATATGACCCAAAGGAGAGTATAAATAGAGTCAGCTAGCCAATAGCTCGGCTGTAGTAAGGAAAACAGCCTACTACCAGCACAGGACAGAAAATGAATACCTGCAATAGAGCATAATAGCTCAGTTGCTGTGCTAAGCCAGCAATTTACCATTACAAACAGGGCCGTCTATAATATGAATTGGAACCTGGGCAAAGCGTTTTCTTGGGCTCCCTGGGCCTTGCCCCTCCCACCCCGAAATTACACCCAACCCCCAATCACACTTTTCACCCCAATGCAGTAGGGGAACTAAAGTAGAGAGATTCAAAACATACTTACACTGACAGACATACTGACACAGACAGACATATTGACACATTTGCAGATATATACTGAGACACAAATATATACTGGCAGACATACTGACACACATTCAGACATACACTGGCAGACATACTAACACACACACACACACACACACACACACATACTGGCATACACACTGACAGACATATTGACACACACAGTATGTCTCTGTGTGTGTGTGTGTGTCAGTATGTCTGTCTGTGTGTATGCCAGTATGTCTGTCTGTGTGTTAGTATATCTGTCAGTGTGTCTGTCAGTATGTCTGTCTATCTGTGTGTGTCAGTATGTCACACAGACATACTGACACACATGCTACATTTAGCCACCCTCCAGGTTCTTTTTCTAGAGGGTGGTTTCCCAGGTGTCCAGTGCCAGGCTGAGGCAGTTGGGAGTTATCTTCTGGAACTCCTCTCCTCCCTGCCTTCCTCCTCCCTCCCGGCTCTGATCTCCGATGGGAGGAAGGGATGCGCGGCACTTACTTTCTCCCAGCTGGCTGCCGAACAGGAAGGGGCCCGGTTGCGCTGTTTAAGAGCCATAGTGCCTGACCAGGCCCCTGCTGACACATCCCCAACCAGGTGGCCCTTAGTGCATGGGCCACCTGGGGGACCTCCTTAGTGTGCGGGCCGGTGCGGCTGTGAGCAGCCACACTGCCTGGTCCATGGGGGCTGCACAAATTGCAGGGTCCACAGGGCAGCTGCTCTCGGGCCCCCCAGGAGCAACTGGACCCGGGGCAGCTGCCCCGTTTACCCCGCATTAAAGCAACTAACACCTAAATGGACGTTGGGCTCACTTGCTTTTCTTTCCTAAGACTTTAGCTCAGATTTCTATGCTATTAGCTGCACTGGCTGGTCTATGCAATTTCACAGTGAATAGCATGGCGTCCTGCAGTGACTAACTGCTGGTGAAGCATTGTGGAAGCGAATCAAGGTTTGGTTTAGTATAACCTTTATCTGTACATTTGCTGCTAATGAGCCTTCTTTTCCCATGACAGAATCACTATCCTGGTTAACAGGGGATTTATTCCACGAAAGAAAATAAATCCAGAGACGAGGCTGAAGGGACAGGTAAGGGTCAAGTGTGGTCCCGTTTAGTTTAGTACAATGTCTGATTGTTTCAGTGGTGCAGACTCTGTACTCTGTATGGTATCAGCGGTAATGTCCGGAAAGGTTTTGTGAGCAAAGAGGAGCAGAATCGCATGGCTGAGAATTTCTGGGCAGTAATGTGATGATGTCTAAATGATATTACTATAGTCATTCTGACTAGTTTCATGGATAAATATAAATGTGTGTGTGTGTGTGTGTGTGTGTATAGCAGAACAGAATAACAGCACTCCAGGGTTTTTCACATTTTCTTCCTTCCTTTATTCAGTGTAATCCATCTTACAACATGGTCAACGTTTCAGTTCCCAACTGGAACTTTCATCGTGAGTTTGGCATGGAAACGTTGACCATGTTGTAAGATGGATTACACTGAATAAAGGAAGAAAATTTGAAAAACCCTGGAGTGCCGGTATCCTGTTCTGCTGTATTGAGGGTTACTGAGCACTGGGTAACAACAACTTTTTTTTTCTATGTTGGAGTGCAGAGTCTGTGATATATATAAATTTGTGTTCTGGGCAATATTGCTGTAATGATTGAAGTTATAGACAAGTATGGATGTAACACAATAGTAAATAGCAGTCGTGGTGTGCCAGAACCGGCGATGCAATAGGCCTGTAATAAAAAGGGCAAAAAGAATGGGAACCATACCAATAAATGTTTTCGGTCTACAATATAACATAGTCATTACTTTGGGAAATCAAGAAATGCTTGACGCATATTATTTTTCTTTATGCTGGTGCTGTTATAGTTGTGCAAATGTGTTAGAATTCTGCTGTTATAGCAACAGTACATCTCAAAGGAATACATTGTCTGCTACTACAGGGTCTACCATTGAATCTATCTAATCTCTGATTGACTCATTGGGTGGTGGTGGGATAACTTTATTGAATTGGGGGGAAAAGCTGATTGTTTCCATGGCATTTGATACTATTAAATACCTAGCCAGGCAGTGATTACATCATAGGGGGACTCCGAACTCACAAAACAGGGTAATGGTAACAGAGTAAATAATTATGTTTCAAACATGTATGTTTGTCTTTCTGCAGGTTGAAGGTGAGGTCGAGCTGGTGGGAATTGTAAGGCTGACCGAGATTCGCAAGCCTTTTGTTCCACAGAATGATGTTACACGGAATCGATGGCATTATAGGGACCTCGAGGCAATGGCGAGAGTTACCGGAGCTGAACCTATACTCATCGACGCAGGCACAGGTACAGTGGACACAATACAGTTCACTAATTATGTACAGACGTACTGAGTATCGTTCGTCTTAAACTCTGGATGTTTGTTTTTTCTATTATTTGTTTGATTCACTTTTGATGTTACGCAGATATACACAATCTTGTTTAAATTGTAGGATTAAGTCCACCTTTAATGTCTGTCTTTCGGGGAGCTACTAGAGGTGCTTCCATGCTTCTCACGGAGTTTAATGACTCCATTAAATGACGTTTGACAGCCTCATGCGTTGCATGGGAAGTCCAGCGTCTTCAAAATAGGAAAGCATTAATTCAATGCTTGCCCCTATGCTCATTAGGTTCTTCCATAGGTGTGACGTCGCTGGAGGGGGAGATCGATCCAGCATGGAGGGACCACGACGTTGGAAAGAGGTAAATGGGGGGTAAAATGTTTGGGTTTTTTTGTGTTTTTTTTATTTATTTTTTATCCCTTGCATGCTTGAGGCAGCTGAGAACCTAGTAAGTTACGGATAGTGGCATACTATAGCTTTAGTGTTCCTTTAATATTGGATGAAAGCATTGTTCAAATTATTGCCTTCGGTCTAATTCTGAAAACAGTGGCTTTCAGCAGAACACAAATTACTCTGCTGCTTTTCTAGTGATGGGTGATAATTAACTGTCTCGTTATGTAAGGTCCTACATTGCCATCTTAAAGGGACACAATAGTCACCAGAACAAATATAGCTTGGTGTAGTGGTTCTGGTATCTATAGCCTGTCCCTGCAGGCTTTTTAATGTAAACACGGCCTTTTCACAAAAGGGCAGTATTTACATTGCTGCCTAGGGACACCTTTAGTGGCAGTCACTCTGACAGCCACTAGAGGTACTTCTGGGTCAGTGCTGCACTGACGTTCAGCATCTCCACGCTCTGCATTAAGATGTTGAATGTTCCTCATAGAGATGTATTGATTCAATGCATCTCTATGAGAAGATGCTGATTGGCGCAGTGTTTTGCCGCGCATGATAGCCTCCCAATGCTTTTTTATGAGAAATCATTTAACTGGCTGAGAGTCAAATTTGATGATCTCAACCAAGGGAGCAGAAGCAGCTGCGAGTAGACCCCCACGGCGCTGGAATAAAAGTGAGTAATATCTCCTTTTACCTTGCTGATAGGGGGGCCGGGTATCGAAATGGCACAATTAGACACTTATTAGATTTTTGTCATCTTTTAGACTTGTGTTAGAGGTCTAATGTGTTAGCCAAGATAGTCTAATATGTTGACTACAGTGGGGAAAAAAAACATAAAATAAGAAAAGGTGTTACTCTTTTCTAGGTACTACTGTCCCAGGAGGACCTATTGGTGGGCAAACCAGGGTGACCTTGAGAAATGAACACATGCAGTACATTGTAACATGGTAAGTGATACAATTGCCTACTTTACTGTTTAATATTCAAATATGTATCAAACTGACATATTTTATTTTTCTTAGCAGACAGGAAACTGCCATTAGTATTTCCTAACCACTAACCTTAAAGAGTCAAATATGTATTCTTACTGCTATAGTGTTCCTGGTTGGATTATTGCGTCCGCCTCCCCCCACGAGGTAAATAAAGCGATTTACTTACCTTGTCTACATTGCCTTGCCTATCTAGCCGCTCTATCTCCTTGGCTGAGATCATCAATCTTGATGGTGTCAACCAATACAATAGGGATGTGTTAGGAGGCCAGTGCGCATGCACGGACAAACTCCTCTCTGCACCAATCAAATCCTCTTTAACAGCAGCATTGAGGTAACTGAGTCTGACTTGGTTATTTAGTGGAAGCGCCTCTAGTGGCTGTCAGGAAGTGTCAGGAGTGTTCACCCTGCATTCATACCATTGCTATATACGGTAGTGGGATTCAAAAATGTTAGTAACCAGTTCCGACTTTTCATATGTTTCCAACTCCACAGGACCGTCCCAAGACAATGTGCTGCCTGGGTCCAAGACAGACACACACTCCCCTACGCCCCCTGCAGTGGGGGAACTAAAGTAGAGATATTCAAAACATACTTACACAGCCATATATACAGACATATTGACAGATACATACTGAGACACAAATATATACTGGCAGACATATTGACACACACACACACACACCCCTGACACAGTCACACATATATTTCCTGGGGGGCAAAGGGAATGCTATTAATACATCCAAAGCATAAACTTTGTATTTCTTGTCAATGAGCAGAATATACAAAAATTAGGTATACCATGCAACGAGCAATAAATACATAAACTTACATAAACTTGATGTATCACGCCAATGGAAAGTAAATGCATACACTTGGTATATCACGCCAGTGAAGCAATAAATTCATAACATTTGTATAACATGCCAATGAGCCACATGTGCCCCCAAACAGCCTACCAATGCCATTCTGCCCTTAGCCTGTGTGTTCCATCTTTCTGCCACCAGCATCTCTCTACCCTTAGTCTCTCTGTGCCATCTCTCTGCCACTACCCTCTCTGCCTCCAATGCGGGTGACAGTGTGTGGTGATGGTGACCGTGTGTGTGGGATGTTGAGAGTGAACGTAGGAGGGTGACATCCCACCTTCCATCCATGTCCCCATCCATGTCCCCCTATATGTCCTTCTACCTCTTCCATCCATGTCTCTCCCCTTCATGTCCCTCTTCCCCTCCCCTCCATTTACCACTACCAGCCATGTCTCCACCCTTCCCTCCATGTCCCCTTACTAATTCCATCCATATACCCCTTCTTAACATGTCCTCCTCCTTGTTCCCTAACCAATTTTATCCTCCCCTCCATGTCCACTTACCAATTCCATCTATGTCCCACTCTCCTCCATGCCTCCCTCCTATCCATGCCCCCTCTCTCCTCCATGTCCCCCTCTCCTCCATGCCTCCCTCCTATCCATGCCCCCTCTCTCCTCCATGTCCCCCTCTCCTCCATGCCTCCCTCCTATCCATGCCCCTCTCTCCTTTATGTCCCCCTCTCCTTAAGTGCAACATATGTCGTTGCCTGTGGTGATTCCCCTGATCACTCAATGCATGCCAAAATCACTTTTGGGAAATAATGGAACTTTTATTTCAATTTTAGTTTCTCTAATCTCACAGAAATTACCTGTACCACAAATAGGAGTTATGTAATGTGTATTTATATATAAATCACGTTGAATCATTTAAGAAGGTTTATGTCCACAGTGTTCATACCCTTTTTATCTGTATAGATGTAGAATAAAAAAAAAGTATCTGCTTACCTGTCTAGGCAGGGGAGAGGACCTCTCGCTGTCCGTCGTGCTCTGCTTCCTTCACTCTGAGCGCCGGGTAGTCCCGTGAAACCTGGCGCTCCTACACTGAGCGAGAGGGGAAGGCGCTCTCCAGCTGGCATAGTGTGCGTGCGGTTCCCTTCTGGAGCCGCATGCTGCCTGCATGTCGAAGGGAGCGTAGAAGTCAGTTGTCAAACTGACAAGGAATTTTTGCACTCCTGGTGGGGGCTGGTTTCGCAGATGGTTCGGCGAACTTGTTAAATGTTAGTAACAGGTTCGCACGAACTGGCTGAATCCCACCACTGGCTAAATATAGTAAACGCCAATGTTTTAGATTGCAGGGTTTAAACTAAAGGGACACTGCACTCGGACCATTTCATCTTGGACCATTTAATCTCAGTGAAGTGGTCTTGGAGCCTGTAGCGGTCCTTTAAAGTGTAACTGTCACTAGTGCATAAATCAATAGCTAACTGAAAGCTCTATTTTTAATTTCGAGACCACCATGAAGCTGGGCACATAATTTGTCATTTGATGAATTTTGTACCCGCTCCCATCAATCTGTCATGATCCCATTTTTTTAACGGTTGACTTACTTTGGAGTCATCAGTCACTTTGCCTTTTGTCTTCAAATCATAGCATGAGCATGTCGTTTACCTCTTCATTCTTCATTTTTAGGTATGGTCTATGCGCGGCTACTACCTATATGTGGTGTAAGAAGTTTGTGAAAAAGTTGGCTTAGTGACGCACAGTCTCAAATCTTTAAGGAACTGATAAAAAGTAAAGCAATCACACCCCAGGATGGCTGCCACATAAGGATGATATATTACAGGACGTTTGGACTGCACATGCCAAGACATAACAGATGGACAATATAATAAAGAGACCTAAAAAATGAGCTGTAACTCTGCAATGGAAACCGTTTCGAGTTTACCTTAATTTACTACATTGAGGCATCAAGAATATAGACTGGGCAAGACAAGCAGGCTGGATGGTTTCTCGATACAGTTCAATCCATCAGTCTGCTTTAATATGGAATCAATAGCAAATGCAGGAAAGGGCAAGACCTGCAGGTTGGATGCATTTCATACTACAAGTGCTTAATTATTACTCATTAAATAGGTGAACAGGCACACTTTATCAGGGAGGTATTGTTCTTTCACAATGCTACAGCCTTTTATAATTTTTTTGTCCTGTTTGTTCGTTGAGTACTTATTAACCAGTACGTGAATGATACCATGCCACAGTTGTCGTAATATAAAAGGGATTGCAAAACCACGTCATAAAGGTGTCATTATAATGCGTGCCCATTAAGTTGTTTAAAAGGTCACTTTATTTTTTTTACTGACCCTGCTGAAGTTTTGGGAATTTGTCAGTTTACACTTTTCATACAGTGCTTTCACCCAGCATTTCAGTATGTTTCATACCTTCCGTAGGTTCTTTCTTTAAAAGTGTTTCACTTTAAGTCCTGCTATTTTTTTGCTGCCATACTGTTTATTGTGGGAATTGTATATGCTGAATAAACTAATTTAACAAACATGATGCTGGGCCATTGCCAGATCTAGATTGACAAGCAACAAAGTAATTTTGGCCTCCACATTTAGCTGTTTTTTTTGCTTAGGGGACCTTGATCCCACTTCATCGGAATATCTACGAGATCATGTTAATTATTAAGCCTCGTCCTGCTTTCAGGCAAGTTTTTTTTATCACATCAATGGCCGTTAATAAATATTTTTGCTAAAATCCCTGGGTACATCCTGTATAAATAGAGAATCTAGATTTTCATAAATTCTATTAAAGCAGAACAATAATGATAAACCATGACCTTTTATGATCCTTGATATTTATTTCGTATCAAAAAGAAAACCGTGAAGGTTTTGTAAATGTGTCTATTGGGACACCATACTTATAATAAAGGTTATTCAATGGCATGAGAGACGAGCTCGTCCTGTGAGGCTCAGAAAAAGGGATTAGCAGTGACGTCAGAATGTTCTAAAAGACGTTTGCAACTATGAATATCGTTTGCAACTGTGAATCTTGGTATAGGTTTCATAGAGAGAGAAAAAATAATCAAGGTCATAAAAACAAACAGCATCTTTCCTGATCATCTCGTCAACCAGTCACTTAGCTGGTGGGAATTTCAAAGAACAGCCGCTCATATGTTTACGATAATTTTCTTCAAAGCGTTCATTCTGTGAATCGGTAAACAGAGTCTTCCAATCACCCACCGTACCTACCAATGAAAACAAAATGTGCAGCAAATTAGGAAAAAAAGACCGGGTGCATTCTGGGAAATATATTCTAAGTGCAAGAGACATCTAAATTGTAATATTTTTATTAATATGTTCATACAAAATATTCAGTTTGTGATAATCCACAGTGCTGCCCCCTCTTTATCCAATAGATATCATTGATCACTTGTCTCATTTACTAATACTCTGATGTCAGGAGGTAAGTCGTTTTGCTGCATTGCTTTACTAAACCGTAGATCGTAAAAATAGAAGTCAATAAAGCAAATCATATTTTGCAGGACTAAAGCCAGAAAAAAAGTTTACTGCCCTATTAAAGGGACTCTCTAAACTCCCAGATCACTTAATCTCATTAGAATGGGTTTTTGCAGTGTCCCTTTTTACCTTGATACTACAATGTAAACTGCAATGTTTACATCACAGTGTTAATACTGCCGTTAGATGCACTTCCTGCAGACAGACTTTGTGTGAGGACCAGCAGCTTGTTGAAAAAAACCAAAAGCGCCAATACCTTCCTATGGGGAAGTCCTTAAAGGATCACTATAGGGTCAAGAACACAAACATGTATTCCTGACCCTATAGTTTTAACACCACCATCTAGCCCCCCTGGGCCCCTCATGCCTCCATAAATATAGTAAAAATCTTACTGTATTCAAGCTAGAAGCTGTAACTCTGCATGCTGTTAGACTCAGAAAACCAAGCAGTCTGCTGACATCATCAGAAGTTGTAGCCTGATCCAATCACAATGCTTCCCCATAGGATTGGCTGAGACTGACAAAGAGGGAAATCAGGGGCAGAGCCAGCATGATTCAAACACAGCCCTGGCCAATCAGCATCTCCTCATAGAGATGAATTTAATCAATGAATCTCTATGAGGAAAGTTCAGTGTCTGCATGCAGAGGGAGGAGATACTGAATCACAGGATCCTGTGCACAGTGCTGCCCTGTGCTCTGCTGACAGCAGATCTGAGTGGATGGAGGCATATTATGCCTTCATCAACTCCGAAGTCCCTCTGGTTCACTCTGAGTGACTGCAACTGGAGGTGTTCCTAGCTTTCAATGTAAACACTGTATTTTCTCCGAAAATACACGAGAAAGGCTGCAGGGAGCTATAGTTCTCACCTGAACAACCTCATTAATGGAACACTATAGTCACCTAAATTACTTTAGCTAAATAAAGCAGTTTTAGTGTATAGATCATTCCCCTGCAATTTCACTGCTCAATTCACTGTCATTTAGGAGTTAAATCACTTTGTTTCTGTTTATGCAGCCCTAGCCACACCTCCCCTGGCTATGATTGACAGAGCCTGCATGAAAAAAAAACTGGTTTCACTTTCAAACAGATGTAATTTACCTTAAATAATTGTATCTCAAACTCTAAATTGAACTTTAATCACATACAGGAGGCTCTTGCAGGGTCTAGCAAGCTATTAACGTAGCAGGGGATAAGAAAATCTTAATTAAACAGAACTTGCAATAAAGAAAGCCTAAATAGGGCTCTCTTTACAGGAAGTGTTTATGGAAGGCTGTGCAAGTCACATGCAGGGAGGTGTGACTAGGGTTCATAAACAAAGGGATTTAACTCCTAAATGGCAGAGGGTTGAGCAGTGAGGCTGCAGGGGCATGTTCTATACACCAAAACTGCTTCATTAAGCTAAAGTTGTTCAGGTGACTATAGTGTCTCTTTAAGCTGAAGTTGTTCAGGTGACTATAATGTCCCTTTAAGTGCACTATGTGCATGCCCATAAATTCCCCTCACCGGCGGAGGAGGAGCCCGTCCATTGCTGGAATCTTTTTTTTTAACCCTTTACACTGCCCGCAGAGGGACACTATAGTGATATAGTGGCTGTAGTCCTAACACTATAGTGTTCCTTTAAAAGATTTTAAACTTGCTTCAAAATAAATAATCCGGACTGTTTAGACTTTTCTATATGTTATGTTATAAAACTGAGCGACTCTTATATTTCCTATTTATGTCAGAACATTAGGCAGGCCTACTTTTCGGTCAATGAGTGCAGTGCCTGCCTGCTAACAGTTAAAGGGTCAGTCCAAACTCGTCAGGATCATCAGATTTCAACTGGATTTGCCATGTGAGCGTTACAAAAAAAATGAAATAAACAAAATTACATAAAACTTGAGTAACATCTATATCTTCTGTGTGAGCCGAAGCACTAAGTAACATTTAAAGCTCACTCTGTAAAACTGAATTGAGGCCAAGTGCAAGATTAAACAATGGTGAAAGGACAGGGCTGTAATGGAACATCGAAGGGTCACGGCCAATTGAAACCTCACTATTCACGGAGTTCGTCACAACTCACTTGTTTGGAGGTTTATTTCAAAACGGAATTACTTTTGCCAAAATATTAACATAATTGTACAATTTGTTCCTGCACTTTGCCCAAAAGAAATAAACCCAGTCTGAATTGACCTGGTTTTTGTTTGCAGACTTGTATATTTTCTTTTTCCTTAAATGAACCCTGTCATGGTTCACCAGTTTACATTTCTGTTTTATATTTAATTGTGCAATGAATATATAATTTCTCATATTAATGATATTTTTCTTGTTTTGCGAGTTATTCGTTAAACAGTTAAAGGAACACAATATATCGTTAGGAATACAAAACGGTATTCCTAACGCAATAGTATGCCCTGTATCTATTACTTTAGGTCCCACCCGTGTACATGAAAGTGACGTAAAGCATGAGGATGTCCAACGTCACTTCATGGAGTTATATTCTGCGAGAAGCCAGGAAGTGCCTCTAGTGGCTGTTCAGTATACTGCAATGTTTTTATACTTCAGGTTTAAGGGGACAGGGACACTGCACCCAGACCACTTTAATGAGATGAAGTGGTCTAGGAGCCTATAGCGTCAATTTAACCTATCTAGCAATCATCTTGTGAATTCTAAACCTGCATACATTCAAATATACTTTTTTCTATTTGGAGTTTATCTAAAAATAGCTTGCAAAAGCTGAAGGTCTTGTCTGTCGCCTTTACAAGCCCTCCCCCTCTAACCCCGCCCAGACTTTCTGTGGCTGTCCAATCACAGACTTTCCAATGCAGCTCAATAAAAAGTATTTGCAAGGCATGTGCTCTGGGCAATTGCTGCCTCTTGAGTTCAGCTTCACTGAGCTAACCAAACCAGGAAGTAACAGGACTGGATGTCTAATTGACAGCCATGGAGGTGTAACAAAGTTAATTTTTAAAATTCTAATTTTTATTGAAATCTGCACTTTCTGTAAAATGAAAAAAGGCATAAAACACTAAACCAAGTTTAAATGCTTAAAGGGTCCCTTTAATTTAGAACAAGATCTGTGTGTTATGATACTGCTCTACTAACCTTTTCTCATGAAGTTCCCCTCTGACTGGTTCAGGATATCCTTCGGGAAGGTCGAGTTGTTGGCCATGGGATTACCCTTCATCTGATCAAAAGAGCTTAAATGTGCAATCTTTTTCAGTACATCCTCAGAAAAATCTTTATTCAAAAACCTTGCCACTTTGCGAACTTCTTCGAGCAAATTCTAAATAACAGAAAAGTAAAAAGGGTGGGAACGGTGAGCAAAATAAATTGTGTTCTAGAAACACAGATCACACAGAGATATATAATTTGTTTCTTTGGAATATATTTTTCTTTAATATTTTAAAATTTCAAGATAGTTTACTTGGGTGGTAAATTTATATAAATTTACAAAATCAAGAAAAATACAAAAGAAACAAAGTGAGAGGGTAAGGGAGAAAAGGAAACTTAGAAAGAGATAAAATGGTGACAAAGAGGAGTACGTGTCAACATCCACTGAGAGATTGCTGGATATGTATTTGCCTCTCTACATCGTACATACCTTCATGGCATTGGTGTTCCCTTATGGCAGTGGTCTCTTTCAGCAGGATAATGCACCCTGCAACACTGCAAAAAGTGTTCAGTTATGGTTTGAGGAACATGACAAAGAGTTCAAGGTGTTGCCTTGGCCTCCAAATTCCCCAGATATCAATCTGAGCATCTGTCAGTTGTGCTGGAACAACAAAACCGACCCATGGAGGCCCTGCCTCGCAATGTGCAGGACTGCTAAAGACTTGCTGGATACCACAGGACACGTTCAGAGGTCTTGTGGAGTCCATGCTTCGACACATCAGGGCTGTTTTGGAGGCACAATATTAGGCAGGTGGTTTTAATGTTGTGGATGAGCAGTGTATATTTCGAATATATTTAGAAATACCTCTTTAGTGCCAATCTGCATCTGTAGCATGAGACTTAATCACCGTGACAAACAGCCCTTTGTCACTGGCTTTTTATGCAACAAACTTCCCTTTTCCCCTGGCTTTTGGATGAGCCTGATTGCCAGCATCTTGCCTTATGACTATGGCCCTGGGGTGTATGGCCCTTTAAAAACATTATTTGGGCATATTGGATTGTAACACACTTTTTCTGCCCCTTTAGTTCCATGAGAAAATGCGTCTTGTGGAAAATCTTGTATAAAAGAAAGTCCTTTGGTGCTCATTAAACAGACCTTCTTGACCCTTTCTTGAGGCCTTGGCTCATGCTTGGGGGAATGGATAACTACACTCTGGGGATTGCTATAATCACACTATACTCCCCAGGGTAAGCTCTTGTAAGAGCTATTCTTGTTCCTGCTATGCTCTGTGGAGGGAGAGTGTCACGGCACAGCCCAAGCCCTGCAGTCAGCAAGGCATGGATGCCCCTTTAAGAGACCTGGCTGGGTTTGAACTCACAGCTCCAGCATCCCAGTCAGGTTCTCTGCCATGACATGCACCAGGGGACTTTAGTTTCTGTTTGCATTTCTCTTTGATTTGCTACTGACTGATTTCCTGGACTCTGACCACCTTGCCCTGGATTAAGCAGCACTGATCCACCTGCAGCCCTTTTCCAATTAGGGTCAGCTGTCTGGTCATTTTGCCTGTTTAGTGTTTCCTGACAGATCTTTGATTTACTACTGACTGATTTCCTGGACTCTGCCCTCTGCCTTATTTACCGACTTTGTTACTCCGCTGCCAGCCCTGACTTCTGCTTCTCGCCTGACCCTGCCTTTTGATTTTCCCTTAATCTGTTCTGTGTTTTGGAGTTTGCCTGCTTCCTGTGCCATCTCCTTCAACTGGGCTCCAACTCCTGGTAAACTGTTACATAAGTCCCCAGGTGACTGTTACATAATACAGAAAAAAGTGCTCAGTGTAAATAGGCGCTTAGTGGAAATGCAAATTAAAAACAGCAGCTCAACACACGTGCAGGTATCCCAATCCTACACAAACAGATATGTGAAAAAAGAGTGTGAACTTCGTAGATGTACTACCACCACAAAGATCACTCTGTGGAGCGCTAGAGATAGGGAAATATCTTACCCCTATATAAATATCGTATATATCACTTTAACAGCATATATAATCTAGAACAGAGAAATACACATCATAGTGCAGAATGATTGTAAAATGTGTATGGAATGGAGGAGAGTGTAAGTCCAACTCACATGGCACAGAGCCTAAAGATTGGCTCGAATCAGCTTGGGTATATTTAGGCAATACCAGACCTCCTCCCGATATGCAGCTCGCAGAATATATGGAAGAGAAAAGAGGTAGAATTCCTAGTGCAAATACGTATGGTAGGAAGAGTGATCACAAAAAATCATATGAAAGTGCTCACCTGAAATAGAGCCGATAATATTAGGCTCTATATATACGCGCCACTGTGCCTTTAAGGGAGGCACTACCCTTCTTTGATGAAATACAGGAAGCAGTAGAAGATCCACTTACAGGTATGTATATATAAAAATAACAAATTTATTTTAAAAAACAAAGTAATAGATAAAAGCTATAATCAGTAAAATACCAAAATAAAAGTCCGATCTCGGATTTGAGGAAGACCACTCTGGAGACTTTTATTTTGGTATTTTACTGATTTTTTTAGTGATTCTACCTCTTTTCTCTTCCATATATTCTGCGAGCTGCATATCGGGAGGAGGTCTGGTATTGCCTAAATATACCCAAGCTGTTGTGATTCGAGCCAATCCTTAGGCTCTGTGCCATGTGAGTTGGACTTACACTCTCCTCCATTCCATACACATTTTACAATCATTCTGCACTATGATGTGTATTTCTCTGTTCTAGATTATATATGCTGTTAAAGTGATATATACGATATTTATATAGGGGTAAGACTGTTACATAATGACCAGATCCTTACCATGGAGCCTGCGGAGATGATGAATGCCCTGAGTACCCTCACACAGCAAGTGACTCTCCTGTCTCAAACCGTAAGTGAATTGCAGGGTGATTTTTCTGAGTTAAAGGGGAACACACACCATGCTCCTGAACCTGATATTGCATTACCTGACAAGTTCACTGGGAAAAGGACTGAAGTGTGATCCTTTATCACAGCCTGCGAACTGCTCTTCACTTTAAAACCATGCACATACCCCAATGATTATGTGAAGGTTCGCACTACTATTGCCCTACTGTCAGGTAAACCCCAAACCTGGTCTAATAGAGCAATACAGATTGGGTCTGTCTGAGGCATTAAAAGATGAACTAGCCAGAATTGGGGTACCCACTTAATTGGAAGATCTGTTCCTTCTAGTCACCCAGCTAGATCGCCGGTTCAGAGAAAGAAAGCGGGAGCAATATGAAACCAGCTTTTTGTCCCATCAACGTTCCAAACCTGCTGGTGAGACCTATACCCCTATCCCCACCATGGACACAAAGGAACCCATGCAAATTGGAACACTGAATACCATGCTCACGGTAAATAAAAAAGGCAGAAGGAGAGCCAAAGGCCGTTGCTTCTATTGTGGCAAGGGAGGCCACTACATCAGCTATTGATATGTCCTCCTCGTCCTAAACATAGCCATGTGGGGACTCTGTGTCACCATCCTACAAGTCCATCATGGCCTCTTTTTTGTTCAACTTTGCATGCTACTGGACCGCAAAGACCACCTAACCAGACCAATGGCATCATCACAGCCCTTGCTAACCCTGCTCCTGTTCCAGAGTCTCAAAGGAGGCTGCTGTGGCTACCTTCCAATCTTCAGCTTCTGTCTCCTAACGTTTCCTGCTCTAACACAGAGGATCTGTCCCCAGACTGTGTAATTGCCTCCAATGGAACCGTGGTCCGCAGGCAAGATCTAAAGGTCTTTGAGCAGGCTTTTAAGGCCAGAGCTGCATCCCCCTCTCACCTCCTTGCCTCTACTGCCTTCTCAAAGAATAACAATCTGCAAAATGTTACAACCCTCTCAGATCCTGATGATTCTGATACCTATACAGACCTGGATTTCCTGTCTGAACCGGAACTGGACTAGTTGAAGCCCTGTCTGGTCACCCCCGGAGGTCGCTCCTTGTGAGGGGGCTCTGTCACAACACAGCCTGAGTCCTGCAGACGGCAAGGTGTGGCCACCCCTTTAAGAGACCTGGCTGGGTTTGAACTCACAGCTGCAGCATGCCAGTCAGGTTCTGCTTCCTGACCACCTTGCCCTGGATTAAGCAGCACTGATCCACCTGCAGCCCTTTTCCAATTAGGGTCAGCTGTCTGGTCATTTTGCCTGTTTAGTGTTTCCTGACAGATCTTTGATTTACTACTGACTGATTTCCTGGACTCTGCCCTCTGCCTGATTTAGCGACTTTGTTTCTCCGCTGCCAGTCCTGACTTCTGCTTCTCGCCTGACCCTGCCTTTGGATTTTCCCTTAATCTGTACTGTGTTTTGGACTTTGCCTGCTTCCTGTGCCATCTCCTGCAACTGGGCTCCAACTCCTGGTAAACTGTTCCATAAGTCCCCTGGTGACTGTTACAGAGAGAGGCCTGCCCACTGGAAGCTGGGTCCAGGGTGGGTGAAGGACGGTGAGACCCCGGCACAGCTGCATCGCTGGAAGTGTGGTCTGCAGTGCTGATGGTGTCAGTTGGAGTGCTTGGAGTCCTCGGCAAGCGTTAGGAGCATCGATTGGCGGAGGTACTCGGTCGGAGTGCCAGCGTTCCGTCACAATCACCATGGCTTATTAGTATCTCCAGCCACTTGCCATTTCTGGTGAAAAGGATTTTAGTTGATAACTATACAGGGAGTGCAGAATTATTAGGCAAGTTGTATTTTTGAGGATTAATTTTATTATTGAACAACAACCATGTTCTCAATGAACCCAAAAACTCATTAATATCAAAGCTGAATATTTTTGGAAGTAGTTTTTAGTTTGTTTTTAGTTTTAGCTATGTTAGGGGGGTATCTGTGTGTGCAGGTGACTATTACTGTGCATAATTATTAGGCAACTTAACAAAAAACAAATATATACCATTTCAATTATTTATTATTACCAGTGAAACCAATATAACATCTCAACATTCACAAATATACATTTCTGACATTCAAAAACAAAACAAAAACAAATCAGTGACCAATATAGCCACCTTTCTTTGCAAGGACACTCAAAAGCCTGTCATCCATGGATTCTGTCAGTGTTTTGATCTGTTCACCATCAACATTGCGTGCAGCAGCAACCACAGCCTCCCAGACACTGTTCAGAGGTGTACTGTTTTCCCTCCTTGTAAATCTCACATTTGATGATGGACCACAGGTTCTCAATGGGGTTCAGATCAGGTGAACAAGGAGGCCATGTCATTAGATTTTCTTCTTTTATACCCTTTCTTGCCAGCCACGCTGTGGAGTACTTGGACGCGTGTGATGGAGCATTGTCCTGCATGAAAGTCATGTTTTTCTTGAAGGATGCAGACTTCTTCCTGTACCACTGCTTGAAGAAGGTGTCTTCCAGGAACTGGCAGTAGGACTGGGAGTTGAGCTTGACTCCATCCTCAGCCCGAAAAGGCCCCACAAGCTCATCTTTGATGATACCAGCCCAAACCAGTACTCTACCTCCACCTTGCTGGCGTCTGAGTCGGACTGGAGCTCTCTGCCCTTTACCAATCCAGCCACGGGCCCATCCATCTGGCCCATCAAGACTCACTCTCATTTCATCAGTCCATAAAACCTTAGAAAAATCAGTCTTGAGATATTTCTTGGCCCAGTCTTGGCGTTTCAGCTTGTGTGTCTTGTTCAGTGGTGGTCGTCTTTCAGCCTTTCTTACCTTGGCCATGTCTCTGAGTATTGCACACCTTGTGCTTTTGGGCACTCAGTGATGTTGCAGCTCTGAAATATGGCCAAACTGGTGGCAAGTGGCATCGTGGCAGCTGCACGCTTGACTTTTCTCAGTTCATGGGCAGTTATTTTGCGCCTTGGTTTTTCCACACGCTTCTTGCGACCCTGTTGACTATTTTGAATGAAACGCTTGATTGTTAGATGATCACGCTTCAGAAGCTTTGCAATTTTAAGAGTGCTGCATCCCTCTGCAAGATATCTCACTATTTTTGACTTTTCTGAGCCTGTCACGTCCTTCTTTTGACCCATTTTGCCAAAGGAAAGGAAGTTGCCTAATAATTATGCACACCCTGATATAGGGTGTTGATGTCATTAGACCACACCCCTTCTCATTACAGAGATGCACATCACCTAATATGCTTAATTGGTAGTAGGCTTTCGAGCCTATACAGCTTGGAGTAAGACAACATGCATAAAGAGGATGATGTGGTCAAAATACTCATTTGCCTAATAATTCTGCACTCCCTGTAAGGGTAGTCCCATAACACGCTCTGTCTGCAATATTACAAATCCACTGCTGTCCATGACCTGTTCATCTCTCTTTCCCTAGACTTACTAACCTTAATAGAAACATGTCTCTCCCTCTCTGACACTGCTACCCCTGTATCTTTATCTTTTGGTGGCCTTCAATTACCCACAACCCAAGACACTCTGAATGTAAAGGTGATGGTGTAGGTTTCTGCTCTTTCAAACCTCTACCCACCCCCCCACCCCCTCTTTTTTTCATCAATTGAAATCCATTCGATTTGCCTTTTCAAACCCTTCTTTGCTAAGCTGTTATTTATCACCTCCCTGGTTCCCCTCTCCTCTTCCTTGACCACTTTGCTGCCTGGCTACCCTACTTCCTCTCCTCTAACATACCATCCCTAATTCTCAGGGACTTCAATATTCCCATTAACCCACCCATGACCTCAGTAGCCTCTAAACTACTTTCAATTACTTCCTCCCTTGGGCTATCGCAGTGGGCTAATTCTCATGTAGCTGGCAATAACTCCACTCCATTTTCCCTCTGACCACCACCTCTTATCATTTGCTCTTGAATACCCCCTCACCCAACAACCTCAGCCTAACCCCCCTCAACTCAGGAGAAACTTTAATTCTATTGACCTCCAGCAGCTGTCAGCTGACATTGATTCACAACTCCTATCCATCCCTTCCCTCTCCTGTCCCTCACTGGCCATCTCCACATATAACACTACCCGCACCTCTGCCTTGAACACTGCAGCCCCGCTCCAAACATGCACCTCGAGGATGACAACCCCCAACCATGGCATACTAAATCAACACGCTACCTGCAAAGATGCTTTTGTTGTGCTGAACTCTCCTGGAGGAAGTCTTGCACCCAGTCAGACTTTCTCCATTATAGATTCATATTGTGTTCATACAGCGCAGCCCTCGCCAAACAGTTGTACTTTTCCTCTCATTAGTTCATGCTCCCACAATCCGAGGCATCTCTTTGACACCTTTAACTTTCTTCTTCTGTGGCCTGCTGTGGCCGCCCCTCAAACTAACCTTACAGCCGATAACTTTGCATGCTACTTTACCAACAAGATTGAACAGCTAAGTAAAGAATTCTCCCCACCCTGCCTTTCTCCTTCTCAACCACACGTAGAGCATGTCTTTCCTACCCTTCAGACTTACTCCCTGGCTGCTAAACAAGAGGTGGCTGCGCTTTTCCTTTCCTCTCACCCCCCCAACACTTGCCCGCTTGATCCTGTCCCATCTCACCTTATCAGATCTCTATCCCCTTGTCTTGTGCCTCCCTTAACACACAACTCCAACTGCTCTCTCTCTTCTGGTATTGTCCCTGCTGACCCTAAACATGCCACTGTAGTACCTATCCTGAAAAAAACATCTCTCGACGCGTCCTCTTCCTCTAACTATCATCCCATATCCCTGCTCCGAGTGTGCACTTCCTGTTAGTCCGGCCAGGGAACAGGAGACAGATGCTCCCTGTACCCGTGGACCATACAGAGCTCGGCCACGCTACAGTGAGGGAGTGACAGGAGGGAGCGCTGAGCGTTTCCCTCCTGTCAGCCCCTCTCCTCATGCTGCGCCCGGGTGGTGCGCCCTCATGGACGCACCAGCCCGGGCAAAGCTGCAGCCGCCTGAGGCTCTCTACAGAGAGGGGGGCCGGCGCTCCTGGCGGCACCCCTTCCCAAGGGGCGCCCTAGGCGGCTGCCTAGTCCACCTAACAGGTAACGCCAGCTCTGACCTCTACCCTCACATACCTGTCTCTTGCTCTCTCTCCTAATGGGCAGCACTAAACTCTCTCTTGCAGTTCTTCTTCACTCCCACCTATTTTGATTGCTATTTCCGGTCTTAATGTGTTTTACACCCCACCTCCTATAGACTTTAAGCTCATTTTAGCTGGGTCCTCTTCATCCTATCGTTCCTGTAGGTTTTCTTGTAATTGTCCTATTTATAGTTAAAGCCCCCCTCTCATAATATTGTAAAGCGCAACGGAATCTGTTGGCGCTATATAAATGGCAATAATAATAACACAAGGACTGATTTAGAGCCGGTCACTGACAAAAGAAATCTTAATGTTTCTCACCCGTTTGAGATCTTCATAGAACAGGTATAAAATATTGCGTTGGCTTTTCTGCTCCCAAAATCCTTTCACATGGTCATACCAAGATCCCCAGCCAACTATGAAAAAGATAAAGACATTAATTTGTTTTAGAAGTCACAAAATAAAAAATTCATGAATTGTTTGTTTTAGTCTGAGAAGGAATTAATCATAAAAACAGTACATAGAAATGCTGGGATGCACCGAAGCATGCAAAGAAAGTAGCAGGTTTGAGGTGGACTGGGGGATGGAGAGGCATTTGATGATGATCATGGTTTGACGTACAAGGAGCGATCTTGGGTGTCTGAAGTTGATAGGGGGTTCTTAAGCTGATTAAGTTATCTCACATTTATATGGGAATCTAGAATGTTTCATATGTGTGTTCTGAAATCTGTAGAAGAATTTGAATTAACCTTGGTTGGAATTGGCAGAGGGTCCTTAAATGTATTTATGGATCTTGAGTGCTCTGGAGTTGGTAGGAGATCTTTTAAGATCTTATTTGGTCAAAGGGTTCTCTGATGAGAGCAAATGGTTTAGGTAGTGTGATCTGTAGCGAATATTAATAGAGGGATTTGAAGGAGTCTGACATAAGAAGAGGCATTTTAAGTGGGCAGAAGAATCTCAATGGACACGTAAGATTATCTTTTGGCAACTGAAAAAGTAATGTAATCCCTGTCTTTTCATTATAATAGAATTTTTTTCATTATGACTGTTGTGTGATTTTCAGCTGCAAATGAAATGTTCACTTGTGTTAAAATAAATATTATCTTTGGAAGTGTTTGGCTTTACAGGAAAGCATTCCAATTAGTAGATGAGTTGGCATTAAAGCCTTAAAGGTGTATTTCCAATTCCTCTGCTGAATAGACTTATACAGCTGTTCTTTATCTTAGGAACATAACCCTTACTTTTTATTAAACCAAAATGTGAAAACATTTTTTTAATGCTCAAATTGGATTTTATTGAGTAATATATGCAGGTATGGTTCAAGTCAACATACGCTGCCATATGAATAAGACTCGCAGGTATCAGTGCTACGTAGTTAACAGTCACATGGCCATGCAAGGCTCAACAAATATAACCTAGTGCAATACAGACATTTTCACATGACTGAGTAACAGTAAGTGGGTATGAGACGTGTAATGATTCATCTGGAGCGGAGGTATGTGATACCTCGAAAGATGGTATTATAGGTGAGAAGGTATAGAGGGAGGAAGTGTGGAAAGGTATGTGTCTACCAAAGCTCACATTTCGAGAACACTGTAACGGTGCTAAGATCTTTGCGAGGCAGTTAATGGGAAGCCCGTGGAACATCTGGATTGTTTATAGATATTCCAAGCTATCGAAATGGAACACACGTTTACATGTTTGGCGCTTAATCATAGGCCATTGTGACATGACAGATGTTTGTGAATACCGTTTTCTTAATCACTGTGTGTTCTTCTCCTTCTTACCATCACCAATCATAAATCTTTCTAGATATTCCTCAAATGTTCCTGGTTCTGGATGGATTAGAGCCATATGTTCAAAATGATAGAAGGAGGTGACCGTATCCCTAGCATTTCGAGCCACATAGATCACCTTTAACAGGAAGGAAATATACATTTAGTTACCAATGGTAGAGAAGATCAGAAGAGTGGTTCAATAATCATTGGCAAACATGTGTTCTGTTGGTGTCCCACCACTTCAGACATGAAACATTTGGGGAGATTTGTGAAAATGTTATGGTCTATAAAGTAGTTGTAAAAGTGGAGTGATCACCAGTGGATTGTGTTTGCTGTTTCCACAGCGATCGTCTCACTTTTAGTAATTTACTCTTTTCAGATAATGACCCTTTAATAAATCTCCCCCCATTACGTGTAAATATAGCAGCTAGCAAGTGGCAATCGCTAAATAGTCTGCAGCAATATTCCATCCATTGGTTTCTATGGTGACTCCTCTATATTTTTTAACTTTTCCCACAAAATTACTTTTTTTTTTTTTTTTTTTAATGTTGTTTATAGTAACTATGATGGTGATTTATGAAAGTGTTAAGAAAAATGTTTTCTTGTCTATTTTGGTCTGTAAGCCATTCGTAGTTATTATATCGCTCTAATAGTGGCCTAAAATGTGTTGGCTTTTCTTTACCTAGATTCTGTAATTATTTTGCAAAAATACCCATTTAATAAAAGGTCGCCAAATTTAGAATAGTGAGGATTAGTGCCCAGTGGACCCAGGTAAGAAGTCAAACTTTTCAAAAATGGCTTTGAGGACCCATATCCTAAAACAAAAATTACAGCATACCTTGCAGTTGTGTTTCCAAAATGAGTCTGGCACAAGTTGTATAGGCAGATGGGTCTTTAAGGCTCGTGGTGAAGGCATTGCATTAATCGCTTCCAAATCTTATACAATGAAAAGAGGAAAACGAGGCAGGCATATAATTTAGGAAAGGTGAGTAGGCATGTTTCTTATAAATGCATTCACATAATTAGAAATAAAATAAGTATTCATTCTAACAATGTTTATAGCTGCAAGACAAATGTCATAGTAACTGTGTTGTATTATTGAGAAATATGAAATGGTTTGGGGGAGGTTTATGGTGACACTGCGGTGAAGAGGAGATGAAGATGCTGGAATGAGAGGGTGATGATGACACTGGGCTGAAGGGGTGAACTGTGACACTTGGGTTGAAGGGGAGAAGGTGACACTGTGGTGAGAAGCTGATGTTGACACTAAGGAGAAGGGGGATGGAGATCTGGACATGCCAGGTGAAATTCAAGTAGAGGACCAGTATTGGAGAGTTTACTTGTTACATTCCAGACTATTGTCTCGAACTCTAGAGTAGAAATCCTCATGCTTGTCTTGAACCACATACTACACCTTCCTGAGCGTGATCAGACCGCTGTTGTGTTTGCTCCTGCAATTCTAATCATTCTTTGGGAGCTTGTTCCACTCCATCAGAGCAGGCATCCCAAGAGTTCCGCTTTTGGCAAACCCCACTTTAGGGAATTCTGACAGGGAGCCAAGATGGAGGTGGTCATCGCCAGAATAGAGGTAAATGCAGTAGTGTGGATTTTTATAATTAGATGTATTTTTCATACCTGACACATTAAAAACCATTGGAAATATCAGCTCCCCTTTATAAATCTGAAATAAATTTTCAATTTGACCTAAATAAATTAGGGGGGGAAAGGCTATTTAGAATTTTTTTAATAACATTTCCACAAATTCCGGTTTAATCTTTGCCCGCAGCTGCCTAGACTCCCACACTGAAGAACAAGTAGTATGATTTTATCCTGTTTTACTAACTTTAAATGACCTACAAAATAAACACTCTTAACACACATGATGGCATTTGCAAACTTTAGTTAAACAATAGCTAATGCCACATTTACTTCAATCCAGTAAACATGAGCTTAACTGTCTTAAAGCGGCACTCTCTCTCACCATCAGTGAAATTCCAATACAGTCAATATGAGTGATTCATTAATTCTATCTTCGTTAAATACTTAGGGGAGGAGGGTACGGGTAAATTTTCTTTTGATAAAAGCTAGCGGAGAGTGTCAAATTTTTGTCAAGTTTGAACATTTGTAGGTAAGAAATGTGAATACCATATTTATCGGAATATAGGATGCACTGGAATATAAGACGCACCCATATATTTTGACTAGAAATTTAAGGGAAAAAATAAAACAACCTGTATCATAATTACAGTAAACGTTAGTTTATGTATAGGGCATGTAATGTGTGTGTGTGTGTGTGTGTGTGTATAGAGGGATGCAGCAAGTGTGTGTGTGTGTGTGTGTGTGTATAGGGGTGTGGTATGTGTTTAGGGAATGTAATGTATGTGTGTAGGGGATGTAGTGCTTGTATGTGTTAAGGGAATGTAATATATGTGAGTGTAGGGGATTTAATGTGTATAGTGGATGCAGTGTGTGTGTGTGTAGTGCATGCAGTGTTTGAATATATAGTGCATGTAGTGTCTATGTGTATAGTGATTGCCGTGTGAGTGAATGGTGACACTAAATTTAACCATCTTGTAAGTCAAAGAAACATAGGTCAATAAACACTTACCTGGCTTCATTGCACACATCAACTCAATAAATGGAACTCTCTCAAAAATGGCACCTCGTCTGCATATGGCCTCATCTCCATTGTTTAGTATTAGATCCACAATTTCTTGCATCCAAGTGGTTCCTGATTAAACAGTGATTTGTTTTTAAATACACTGATATGTATTAACCCCATAAAGACTGGACTGTTTTTGCGATGTTGCACATTTGCGACCAGGCCTCTTTTTACACTTTTGTGGTGGTTGTGATTAGCTGTATATAAATTATGTATTGGTTTTTTTTCAGGACAAAAGGGGTTTTCTTTAGATACCATTATTTATATCATCTCATTTAATTTAAAAAAATATGATGAAATTTTTTTTAAAAATACATGTTTTTTGACTTTTACTTTAAAAATTTTTTACTCATCTACAAAAGCGAATAAAAAAAAACCTGCTAAATAGATTCAAAATTTTGTCCTGAGTTTAAAAATACCCAGTGTTTACATGCTTTTTGCTTTTTTTTGCAAGTTATAGGGCTATAGGTACAAGTAGGATATTGCTGTTTCAAAACATACATTTTTTTTTTCAAATTTATCAATAGTGACATTGTAACATTATTATCTGTCATAAATCTCTGAATAACACCCCACATGTACATATTTTTTTTTTAAAGTAGACAACCCAGGGTATACAATATGGGGTATGTCCAGTTTTTTTTTTAGTAGCCACTTAGTCGAAAACACTGGCCAAAGTTAGCATTCATATTTGTTTGTGTGTGAAAAAAGTGGCCAGTGTTTGTGACTAAGTGGCTACTAAAAAAGACTGGACATACCCCATTTGCAATACTTTGGGTTGTCTTTTGCAAATTGCATGCCATCATGGGGGTAATTCTCATTCCTGGGCTACCACACGCTCTCAAAGGCAACGTAACTGTCAGGATCGTGACAGGGATCCAATACGCAGAGTGCGGACAGGAGGAGGTACGTATACCGGACCTTAGAATGGCCGGACTAACGTATAGATAAGACAAGAATGGTCAAAAGGTAAGCCGAGGTCGAGGGAGCCGGAGGACAGGTAAGCGAGGAACAAGCCGGGTCAAAGGAGAGGAGAGAGCAACAGGACAAGGTACAAGCTAGGTCAAAACCGAAAAACACAAAGAGAGAGAACGCGCTGAGTGACTAGCAAGCTAGAACCACGACAGGGCAATGAGCAGTAGTAAAAGCTTCCCTTAAATACCCTGTCACCTTAATTATGACCACGCCCCCAAAAGGTCCGGAATTGCGGTTCCCGGCGGTTACGTGATGATGACATCATGACGTCGACGATTAGCCGTCGCGTCATAAAAGGGGGAGGAGCTAGCGCGGCCGGCGCGAAAACGGCCGAAAAATGCCGAAATGCTTGGGCATAGGAGCCCCTTTGGAAGAGAGACTGACCTCCTCAGAGGTAGAATCTACAGGTAACCTGACAGTACCCCCCCTTTTAGAAACGCCCACCGGGCGGATGGGAGCGGGCTTAGAAGGAAATCGAACGTGGAAGGCTCGAAGAAGACGAGGAGCATGCACGTCTTCACAAGGAACCCAAGATCTCTCTTCAGGACCATAACCCTTCCAGTCTATGAGGTATTGTAACTTCCCCTTGGAATTACGAGAATCAAGAATGGACCTGACAATATATTCTTCTTGACCATCAACTTGAACCGAAGAAGGAGGAGCAGGGTGTGAAGAAAACCTGTTACAAACAAGAGGTTTCAATAAAGACACATGAAAAGAGTTAGGGATACGCAGAGTAGGAGGCAGGTCCAGCAGATAAGAAACCGGGTTGATCCTCCTCAACACCCTGTAAGGACCTATGTAACGAGGAGCAAACTTCATGGAAGGAACTTTCAGGCGAATGTGTCTGGTACTCAACCAGACCCTATCACCCGGAGAAAAGACAGGGGCGGGCCGTCTACGCTTATCAGCATGCATCTTAAACACCGTGGAACTACGAGTAAGAATTTGTCGAGTCTGATCCCACAACTTTCTCAGGTTGGCTATATGGACATCAACCGACGGTAAACCATGAGAAGGTGATACTGACGGAAGAATAGTAGGGTTAAAGCCATAATTCAAGAAAAAGGGGCTATTACGAGTGGAACCACAAACAAGGTTGTTGTGAGCAAACTCCGCCCAAGGAATCAGACCGACCCAATCGTCCTGGTGTTCAGAAACAAAACAACGTAGATATTGCTCAATTTTCTGGTTAGTGCGTTCGGCTGCCCCGTTAGATTGAGGATGATAGGCAGAAGAAAAATTCAGCTTGATGCCCAACTGGGAACAGAAGGATCTCCAAAAACGGGAAATGAACTGGGACCCCCTGTCAGACACAATCTCATTGGGAATAACATGTAAGCGAAAAATCTCCTTAGCAAATATCACGGCCAATTCGGGTGAGGAAGGAAGTTTAGGCAAGGGGATGAAATGAGCCATTTTGGTAAACCTGTCAACAACCGTGAGAATAACTGTGTGTTTATTGGAAACCGGCAAATCAACAATAAAATCCAAAGCCAGACTAGCCCAAGGTTTGTTGGGAATGACTAAGGGTTGCAAAAGACCACAAGGAAGGGCCTGTGGTAGTTTATTCCTAACACAGATATCGCAGACCTTGACAAAGTCTTCCACATACCTCCGTAAACTAGGCCACCAGAAGTCTTTGGAAATCAGACAGCAAGTTTTGTGGATGCCGGGGTGACCGGCAAACTTGCTATTGTGAAAGCATCGAATTATGTCCATTTGGAATTTGGGAGACACGAAGAACCGTCCCTCAGGAGTACGTTCGGGAGCAAGAGATTGTTTGTTCATTATATCTGCGAGCAATGGAGAGTGTATTTTGACATTGGTGTTGGCGATAATGTTATGTTCAGGAACAATAGGAGACAATGTGTCTTCCGTGATGGTATTAGGTTCGTGTTGACGAGATAATGCGTCTGCTTTGGTGTTTTTAGAACCAGGCCTGTATGTAAGTATGTAATTGAAATGTGTAAGGAACATAGACCAACGTGCTTGCCTGGCAGATAATCTTTTGGCCTCTCCAATGTAAGATAAATTTTTGTGATCAGTCAAGATGGTAACCGGGAGAACAGTGCCCTCTAACAGATGTCTCCATTCTTTTAATGCCATAATAATAGCTAAGAGTTCTCTGTCACCAATATCATATCTCCTTTCTGTGTGTGATAATTTCTTGGAAAAAAAAACCGCATGGGTGTAAAGGTTTATCTAAACTTTGTCTTTGGGACAATACCGCGCCTATCCCTGTTTCAGAAGCATCAACTTCAAGTAGAAAGGGCAGAGAGGTATCAGGATGAACTAGTATGGGTGCTGAAGCAAAAGTCTGTTTGAGCGTTTCGAAAGCAGATAAAGCCTCAGTAGACCACATTTTGGTATTGGCTCCTTGTTTAGTCATATTAGTGATAGGAGCAATAACAGAGGAGTACCCTTTAATGAAGCGTCTGTAATAATTAGAAAATCCAATAAATCTTTGTATGGCTTTGAGTCCCTTGGGTAAAGGCCAATCTAAAAAACGATTTTAGTTTAATCGGGTCCATCATAAACCCGTCCTTGGAAATTACGTAGCCTAAGAAAGTTATCTGGGATTGATCAAAGCTACATTTCTCCAATTTACAATACAATCCATGTTGTAAAAGTTTCTGTAACACCCTTCTGACTTGTCTGTGATGTGAGTCAAGGTCCCTAGAATGAATTAGTATATCATCCAAATATACTATCACGCATTCGTGTTGAAATTCTCTGAGGACCTCATTAATCAAGTCTTGGAAGACGGCCGGGGCATTGCATAGCCCAAACGGCATTACGGTATACTCATAATGTCCGTAACGGGTATTGAATGCTGTCATCCATTCGTCTCCCTGTTTAATTCTCACCAAGTTATATGCTCCTCTCAGGTCAAGTTTGGTAAAAATACTGGAGCCCTTCAGTCTGTCAAAGAGTTCAGTAATCAAAGGAATGGGGTAAGCATTCCTGATGGTAATCTTGTTCAATCCCCGATAGTCTATGCAAGGACGTAAGGTACTGTCTTTCTTTTCTACAAAGAAAAAACCCGCCCCCGCCGGAGATGAAGACTTTCTAATAAATCCTTTGTCTAGATTTTCCTTGATGTATTCCTCTAAAACTAAATTTTCTTTGGTAGACAGAGGGTACACCGTACCCCTAGGAGGCATAGTACCAGGCAAAAGTCTAATAGTACAGTCATAAGACCGGTGGGGAGGTAAAGTATCAGCCTTACTCTTGTCAAATACAGACTTGAGATCCAGATACTGAGATGGTATCTGCAAGTCTGTGGATTGAGAAGAGTTGGTAGAGGAGTTTACTGGGCAAACAGAAGTGACTCTCAGCAAATATTTCTCCCTACAACCAGTTCCCCAAGAAACGATTTCTCCACATTCCCAGTCAATCTGGGGGTTATGTCTCTTGAGCCAAGAATATCCTAGAACCACTGGGACAGCCGGGGAGGATATTAACAGGAGGGATATCATCTCCTCATGGAGGATACCGATGGTTAGTTTAACGGGTTTGGTCTCATGGAATATTACTGGTTCCGACAAAGGTCTACCATCTATGGCCTCAACGGCCAAGGGTGTGTCTCTCAGTTGGGATGGGAGACAATGCTTATTAGCGAAAGCTTGGTCTATAAAGCTTTCTGCTGCTCCAGAGTCTAACAAAGCCATCGTAGATATAGCGCCACTTTCCCAAGCTAAAGAGACAGGAATCAGAAGCCTATGGTCTTTATCATTATACATAGAGGACAATATAGAAACACCCAAGGCCCGTCCTCTAGGGGAACTTAGGTGCGAGCGTTTCCCGGGCGATTAGGGCAATTAAGACGTAGGTGACCTCTCCGCCCGCAGTATAAACAGAGACCCTCCCTTCTTCTGTACTGTCTCTCGGCCTCAGATAGGTGAGTATTACCTATCTGCATAGGTTCTGGTGGAGTAGGATTGTAGGAGTCAGGGTTCTGGAAGGAAGGAGCAAGTCTCATAGGAGGTCTACTAGCTCTTTCTCGAGTATTCTGCCTCTGTCTCATGCGTTCATCTATTCTGGAAATAAAAGACACTAAATCTTCTAAATTTTCTGGAA